GTTCGTTTATCATAAAAAATGTAGAAATCACACCATTTTTAGAAACATGCTTACAATTTCATTGCTCTAGAAGGGCGGGCATTTAAATAAACTCCATCCAGCTGCCCCTACCGGAAATTAAATGGCCCGTCCGATAAAGGTTAATAGGTCCTCATTCATAGCAAAATTATATTCTTTCTTTGAATGAATAAGCAGTTTCAAGCCAGGCCTGTGGCAGCATAGCACTTCTTGTCAAACAGCTATGAATACATCAGTGATGATAGCACAAAATAGAACTTGTAGACATGTGTAGCCAAACCTTCATTTAATGTTCAATTTCAGTGATCCAAAGTCAGTATTCTCCTTAAATTACCTCCATTTAATATTTTCCTCAGTTTAGTGTTCAAATTCACTGTTCCTGAAAGACACTCTAAATGGGGGTTTCACTGCATAATGTTACAACCCCCACCCCAGTTTGATTCTAAACAGTTACTGCATACAGATATGGGAAGGACTGATCACAGTCCTAACATTGGTTCCATTCAGATGCAGAAGTCTTTAGGAAATAATAGCATTACTCAGTCATGAGTGAAGCAACAGGTTAGAAAACTTTGTCCACAAATAAACATTGGAATATTTACCTTTTCCATATCATAATTAATAATTATAAGATATAGAAGGGAAAGATCAGATTGTTATTTGCAGAGCATATTAGTCACGTTTGGTCATTGCATACTGTTCTTACTATAATGAAATCCTTGTTTTGTAATTACTGTTTAAAACCTACAGGTTCTATGTTATTTCAGGAGCTCTGAGAGTGAAGTTGAAGCTCCATATAGAAATGTGCAGCTTAGTGCTGTGGCTAGCATCAAGCGACTGTGCAAGATAGTGAACCAGACAATGCTCCTGCAGAACTTGCATGACACTAGGGTGTGTGATCAGTTACTTGAACAAGAGGGTAGTGAGGACATCAGGAAGTCTGGCCCAGGTATGTCCTAGAAGAGTTCCATATTCATTTTCAAGCCCCTGAGCTCAAAACTTGGCATTGCTACACATTATTCCCAACATTGGGGACTCCTCCATCTCCCACGCCTCCGCCAGGTGACTGTCTCAGACTGCCTGCCTCCAATCTCAACTCATAACTCAACTGCTACTCAACTATCTCCACTGCCTCAGGACTCACTCTTGTGACACTACACTTTACTCGAACAAATCACTATCACCAACAGACTGGTATTCCCAGTCATGGCCTTCACTGCACTACAGTATAATGTCTTCCAACACTGGACATTCCTCTGCTCCACAGCCCATGTCCTCATAGGCTGGTGGCCTCTCACCCCAACCTCCTACTCTTCTAACTCCATCTCAAGACTGGTTCACTTGTCTCATTGGTCCACGTAATTTAGCCTCAGGATGGACCGTGCAGAGAACACCACTTACAACAGTACTCCTGTTGTTGCATGACATCACTGCAGTTACAGAGGGGTGTTTATTGTGCCATCCCCTAGCAATGAGTGACATATTTGTTAACTTGGCATGGTGTGATATGATGTGATGTATTTTTGTGTGTAAGAATGCTTGCCATCGTGTGGCGTGTACTGAGCCTGCCTAACCACGGGTATGTTTGCAGAGCTGTTCTGTAGTAATGGCTGTTTCTGCTGGCTTCCAGCACACATGCCACAATATCATTCCACCATTTGTCTATTAAGGGGTGCAGAAGGGTGGTCTAAGTCTTACAGATTCCCTATCACCATAACACCTCCTGCAAAAGTCATGAGATGAAATTCTGACCTTGGTTGCTGTACATCTTATTTGGTTAGGGATGGCATAAACCTCCAGTCACTTGATGAAATAGACCATGACAATCAGAAGGTATGAATTCCCCTTCTTGCTTTTTAGGAAGGGTCCTGCAATGTCAATGGCAATGGTGCCCGAACACTACACTGGTGCATCATGCCCCAGCTGTGGATTTGGGAATGTCTGCTTCATGCCCAAATGTTACAGTGTTTACTCAACCTCAGTGGCATTCCCTGCATATAACCAATATTCCTGCTGTCTAACCTTTTCCTTGGTTTCTTTGACACTCAGGTGTTTTGAAGATCCATCATGGAGCTCTTCCAGTACTTCCTTCACCTTGCTCCCGGAAAAATAATTTAGACTGTCTTGGACCTTCCATTGGCCAACTCTCACTGGTGCTACAGCATACTCTGTCACACTGCTAAGGAGTTTCACTAGGACCATCAGCTCTTATAGATGGGACTGTGGTCAGTGATTTCCTTCTACTGTGGGTGCTTTCCAGCCTCCACTTCTGTATACTTGACCCCATGTTGTCACACAGCTCTTCCCTCCTCATGGCAGCATAGTTCCAGCCATCTGCAGTGGCAGCAGTAGTAATTCATCCCTTCAGACTGCTCTAATGTCATTCAAGTTTCTATCAGTGAATGTATGCCTTCAGTCAGGACTACTTAAGAGCACATATATGTTGGTGTGCTTCCACCCATTATGGTGTTCAGATGTAAAATGGTGTTCTTGGAGACAGTGAACGCAGCACACAGTCTTTCCTTCCAGGTTCTTGAAATTAAGGAATGAGGTCAAGGTGTAATGGTCAGTGTACAAGTGGAATTTTTTTGTCCATAGAGGTGTTTGTAGAAATGTTCTGTCTTCACAATAACTCCCAGTTAGGTTGCATAGCAGTTTTCATCCTTGGATAGGGTCCTGCTGTAGTAAGCTGCTACATGTCCCTGGCCCACCTGTGCTTGCAACAGATCACTTCAAATTCTAACATTGGTCACATCCATGTCTGCAGTGAACTCACCTAGCTTCAAGTACAAGTATCCTAGGACAGGTGCTATACATGACTTCATGGTTCAGAAGGCAGCTTCTGCTTCTGGGTACCATTGAGAAGTGTGCTTTTCTTCCCTGAATTGGGTCAGCAACTTCACTGTCTGGAAATCCAGCTATGAATCTCCAGTAGTAGATACACAGACCAAGGAAGCTCCTTAACTTGTGTTTGTCTTTCTGTGACAGCCGCTCCTGTACCACCTTCAGCCTTTCTGAGTCCATAGTCATTCCTTCTGGACGTATATCTCAGGTACCATACCTCCTTCTAGAAAAGTTGGTACTTCTTGGGAGAGAATTTAAGGTGCAGTCAACAGTGATTATATCATCCAGCTATGGCAGGCAGACTTCATAAGTAGGGCCCTGCAGAATGGATTCCGTCAGCTGCTCAAACATTGCTGGAGCATTGTGCAGGCCAATTGGCCTATCTGAATTTTCACAGCCCCTGTCCTGTAGAGAATGATGTCTTCTTCTTATGGAATTACAAGGAAATCTGCCAGTAGCCACTCTTCAAATCCGAAGTCGAGACCCACTTAGCTGCAGCAACAACATCTGGAGTGTCATCTGGCCTCGTTAGTGTGAAGCAGTTCTTCTTGGTAATGTCATTGAGACATCAGTAATCTACACAGAACTGAAGGTCCTCCATTCCTTTCCTGATGAGCATGACAGGTGAAGACCAAAGACAACCTATTTTTTCCTCCTAACATAGTAGAATATAGTCAAATTAAAACATAACATAATAAAATATATTACAGTCTCATTTAGAATATAAACATTTGAAAGAAAATAGGCTGATGTCACCAGTCACTAATGTTTTAATGGCATGGGCAAATAGATAACAGTAGTAACATCTTTTCATATTTGTCCTCAATTGCAGAAAGCCAAAGACCGACTGGGGAAAATGAAACACAAGGAAGCTGCCTGGAAACAAGTCCTAAGTTCATGCCAGGTTTGTTTTCATGCAGTGTGGTGTGGGAGGTACATTTCAGCTTGCATCCACGTCTGAAGACAGGCCCTGGTAAACCCGGATTTTCCAGGGGCATACAGGCCATGCGCAACGTTCTGAATCGTCTCTCTGTTAACAACCGTAAAAATATGTTTGTGTATCAGGACAATTCTGGGAATGTTTTCTACCTCAGGTGAGTTATTTTGGAATTTCCAAGTAAGTTTTTGTAGTAATAATAAATTCTTTCTTCTGTTGAATGCAGACAATGAATGAAGAGTTAAATGAATATCTCATGGCATTCCTTTTTCTCAGCAAATTTCCAAATGTTGGATGTCAGAAAGTACTTTCTGTTCCAATATCATGGCTGTTGAGACCTGTTACATATATTTCAAAACAGAATCCTTCCTTTCCCTTTTAGTTGATATTCTATGATCATTTTTGGAATCTTGTCAGTTCATCCTGTTAGTATGTTAGTTTCCTATGTAATTTTCTGTAAATTCTGTGATTTATGGAATTTTTAAGTCTTCTATTTTATCGTTTCCTTTATGGTCCAAAAAATGTATCCTGCCATCCTCATGAAATGCACTTCTGGTGATATCACTTTTCTCTCATTGTTGCTTCTTATTGTCCATTATTATTATTACATTCATGTGTTCTTCCTCCAGTGCTTACCCTTATTTAGACTTTGCTTTTATATTGTGTTTGCCCATAATGTAATTACTTGTACCTACACCGTGCTGTGTCTGTAATTGGCTTTGTAGCTGTTGACTTGGCACATAAATAATAAAGAATTGAATTAAATTATTATTGCTTTGTTTGTTTATTTGTTTGTTTGCTTCTTGGTATTAATGTGTTCTTCCTCCAGTGCTTACCTTTAATTAGTCTTTATGTTGTGTTTGTCCATAATGTAATTGGGTTGTATCTGCACTGTGCTGTGTCTGTAATTGGCCTTGTAGCTGTTGACTGAGCATATAAATAACAAAGAATTGTTGTTCTTGTTCTTGTTTGTGGGGTGAGACTGAGTCCACTTGCTACTGCAGCCACTACTGGCCTATTGTACCAGCCCCAGATGATAGATGATGGTGATTGTGGAGCAGTTGGTGGACTGAAAATCGGCAAGGGAAAACAAAGTACTTGGAGAAAACCTGCCCAGTGCCACTTTGTCCACCACAGATCCCACATGACCTGACCCAGGCTCAAACCCAGGCTCCCATATTGGGAAGCCAGTGACTAACTACCTGAGCTATGGCACAGCCCCTCCTATTGTTCATGGTGTTAGTCTGGAAGATATCTTGTAAATTAATGTTTTTGTATGCCTATGAACTGATGATCATTTGAAAATCTTACTTGTAATCCCTAGAGTTTTAATGAAGTTTACAGTGCTTACATTCAGATTGTATTTTCCTTCACACGGTATATTATGTTCATAATAAGAAGGAGTACAATCAGTAAATTGTTACAGTATCCTATCATTGATACATATCTTGCTTCTAATTGATTTGTTTTGCTGCAGTTTAAATAAGATCCTACTATCTTATTCTCTATCATTCAGGAATAGGGGATTTAAATGTTCCACTGCTATGGTGCTGGCAGCTGAATTTTTACTGGATAGTAATGATATTCATATTGAAATAATTTAGGGTTAGGCCTTCTAGTCCTGCTCATGCTGTCCCAGTAGTGCAACACATGGGTGGTAAAGATTAAAGGTCCACAGATATTTCACATCTCTTCTCAATGCAGCTTTTCACACATTCTGGGTAACTGTCATATTTGTTCCAGTTTTGAAATTTCAGTCACCTAAGTAGCACATGAAAGAGTATGGTTTACCCCATAATTTCACTCCGAGTTTCATATTAGACTTCTGAGGCATACTGTTTTTCAGAGTAGTCTTTTTAAACTATGAAATTTCTTCACTCAGTAAAATTGAAAACAAAAATGTGTTCAAAATGTTTTACCTTACCATGGAAAGTGGAATGTTGCTGTTTCTTTAGCAGCCATAAAGAAGCTGTCTGTCATGTGACTGTGAGTTATGTTTCAGTGCTTCCATACTGTGAGGCAGCTCCAGCTCTGCTTCTGAAACAAGATCTTATTATGAACAGAACAGTATCACTGTTGGACAGTGTGCCCAGTTGCATGGAATTTATTGTTCAAAAATCAATATGCCATAGTTTGATTGCCAATCTTGGTGAATAAACAGCTGTTAAGCCATTCCAGTGCACCTACTAACCATATTTATATTTCATTAAACTAGAATAAAGTAATAAAATAACTACTTGAACCTCAACCATATATGTATTGGCAGCATGTTAAATGTGCAACATAGAAAAGCTACATACAGGGGCACAGTAATAATCAAGAAATTTTATCTAGAAAAAATATGAAGAAGCAGCATTTTTATATATAATAATGGATAACCCCTTGAACAAAGAAAAAGAAATATTATTGGAATGATGACTATGCTAATAACAACACAAAATTAAGGAGAGAAAAAGAAAGGTTGGAGATGTTTCACTCATTTCAGAAATTAAATAATAATGATAATGAAAACTTCGAAGAACATTAGCATGAAACCAGTAAATATAATTCAGAGCACATTGCTAACAAAAGTAATTATGAAACAAAATGAAATTGACAAATACAGAGTGGAATATACAAACTGCATTGTAATCAGGGTAACAGAATACGCATAGGGAAAACAAAACAGTTATAAGGAGCATATACACATAATATTGTCATGTGTGTGGGGGTATGTGTTACAAAATGATGGATTCTAGTTCAGATGATTGGATTTATTAGCAGCTTGGTTACACACGTACAGTGCTATTGCTGATTTACACACATTCCAATTCACTGTTGTGCATGCACTAAGATTCTCAGCACAGAAACTAGCACTCAAATCACTACAAGTGTTACACATAAAATCTTTCAATTACTCTTCCAGTATCACTGCACTGTCGCACAGATAAAGTCTTGGAGTCACACAATAAGTCTTCACTGCTGAATTCTCAGCTATCACTCACTATCACATATTACACATAAAATCTTCCAATCACACTTTACATCCTCACAGGCTTGACAGTCTTCTGTACTCCATTCCACCACTAGTTCCACTACTTGGTTTTGTCTGGTCTGGCCCTCGTCATGTAGCTTCGAATCAGACAGCACAGAAACATCGTGATCAACAGTACAAATGCATGATCCAAGCGTCAATGATGTAATCACGGTATATCACATAGTATTTATGTCATGTGATGGCCACATACTGTTGTGTGACATCACAGCGTGGCTGTTGCATAGTGACAGCCCATCCACGGATGAAGAAAACACTGTTCCATACTGTTTGCTGTGTGTTTGTTGCGGGCATTATCTAGCAACGGGTATACATGCCACAATATTGTGATGTATAGACCTGTTGCTGGGCAGAGACCTCAAAACCAATGACTACAGTTCTTGTTATGCAGTAGGATGATAAACACCCATTTCTAAGTAGTGGTTGGTAAAGACATTCTTGTGAAAGTGATGTCTGGCCTATCACTATGCAACTGCCATGACAACAATAAGAAGACTGTGGAGGCGCTGTTTTCTGTTGGGTCCACCATGAGGGTACGTAATAAAGACACCAGCTGAGTTATGAGGAGTTGTCAGCAGTTCATTTGAGTGAGGTGACATGACGTAGCTAGTTGGTGAGAGAGTTCTCTTGTGAGTTGTCAGTTGGAAGTGAGTCTGTGAAGAGAAGACTAGGAGGTTGGTGTGAAATGGCCACCAACCTGTGGCCCAGTTAGTTGAGCTGGCAGTTGACAGTAGTTCTGTACAGGTAGCTTTGACAAGGGGACCTGAGCACAGGAAGCTGAAGAATCTGACTTGGTAGAAGCCATTGCCAGGAAACAGCTAGTGCAAACTGTAATAGACTGAGGACACTGGTCTGTATGTGTCAATGATCTGTAAAGTGTAGTTCCGAATGATGTATACAAGTGGCCAGTAAATCCATTCAGCAGGCCATACCTCATCTGTAGTCACACCCCTAAAGCATGACAGTATGGAACATAATAAGGAATTCTCATAATATGCAAATATATTATGGATATTTAGCATATATATGGTTAGATGGAAGATATATTACAACTATATTTCCAAAGGGACACATGTGAACAATATTATACCTCACTATTCATAAGTTTGCCGGTCACAGTAGCCGTGTGGTCTAAGGCATGAACTGTCTTTGCTCCCTTGGATGCTGGGATCATGGGTTCAAATCCCACTCATGGCATGGATGTTTTGTGTGTGTATGTGTTTATTCTGTGTTTGTATTGTCCTGGGTTTAGGTAGCAGCCTTGCGACAGGCTGATCACTCATCCAAGGATTTCTACCACCTGTGAAAAATGATTACAAAATTGAACAAGAGGCCTGGGCCCTGAATTGGCTGGAAGAGCCATTGAAAAAAATCTTAAGTGTAATAAAGACATTAACAGTTAATGAGCAATGTATAAAACAAATTAATGTATCATTTAATCAGCCTTAGAACAGTTATAGTGTTTAACAGTTGGCATTAATAGTCTTGTAATAATCCAGTGAAAATAAATTTAAGTAGAGCACAAGGTTGAATGATATTTGCTTATGTGTGTACAGTGAACACATATGATGGCATGAAGACCAAGGAATATCTCTTGAAAAGTGAAAATAATTATCATAAAGTGCAAATGTTGTTAATTATGATGAAATATAAATACAGTATACCTCTGGTTATCCAGTATCGAAGCATCCAGAATTCTCACACTAGCAGCAGCAATTAAAAATTAAATTTTCTCTTTTATAATTACTTCAGAAATGAAGTTGCAATGAACCACACAGTAACCAGCACATGCAGTTCTTCATACATGCCATATAACAGGGAATTTACTGTAAATTGAAAGAAGTATAGTTTGGCCCCTTACGCTTTGAGTTTATGAGGTTTTATATATCTGTGAATTTTGGTGGACACCTTTGGGAAAATGTTATTGATGAGGCAGTCATTACTGTTAGCCCTGGTGTATTGTTTGATGCGTTTTCTTATGCACGCATTTGACTTGACACAATTGCCTTCTCTGTTTTTACAGACTACATGAAAATGTTTGCAATCATAGCAAGTCTACTCCTCCAGGATGCATTGGCCGCTCTGACACAGAAGATAATTTGCCTGGCCCAGTATCTCGAAGCTCTTCCATTGCTTCTCTCAATGCAAGTAAACATGCAGGTAGTGCAGTGGGAGCTCAGGTTTCAGGTGGAGGCGTTCCTGAAGAAGTTGTAAGTCAGGTTACTGCTAACATTGTGGTTGTGTAATGGAACAGTAAATTTATAAAAACGTAATACTTTACATAAGTATCTTCTTACATTATTGTGAAGACTAGTACATATGTATGAACATTATCATCTCAGTGCAACTTTCATTTATTACTTTAGTATAGGTGGGACGGCCGATTTTGGCCGGTGGATCTCTGATGCGCAGTGGTCTAACAAGTCAGCGAGCCTAAGATTGGTGAGCATGCGCAGTGACACTATGTTGCCTCAGTAAGAAGGTAGACGTTGAGCTCATAGGATCGCTGTTATTAGTAGATACTGTGTGCTTTTCCCACGTGCCAGTTGCTTGTTTTTAATTGATATATTTCTTTTAGGGCAGTAACACATTTAAAAAGAAAACAAATGCCACCTATTCAGTCAAATCTTGGTAACAAAACATTGCACAGCCAGACCCGAGAGGTTGTAAATAATGTCCATTCATTTATGAAAAGTGAAGTGGCTGCAGGTCATGTATTGATACCATTAAGAAAGGTACAAGAGAGAGTAATAAGGTCAACCGGAGTTTCAGAAAGAAGTTTACGGAGAATTCTGAATAAAGGTTCTCAATGTAAAAAAGAAGGCACTATGTTCGGAACTCCCAGTAAACACCATTCTGTACCTAAACAGATAACAAATCCAGATGGTTTTGATATATCTGTGATTCGACGGACAGTGTATGATTTCTACACCCAAGAAGAAACTGTGCCTACTGTGAGGAAACTACTTCCAAAACTCAGGGAAACCATAAATTTCAAGGGAGGTTGTAGCAGCCTGAAAATGATTTTACTGAAGATGGGTTTTAAATGGAAGAAAAAGTGAAATAACAGGGGCGCCTTGATTGAGACGGACAACATTAGGTTGAAGAGAGTAGCATATTTGCGTGCAATAAAGAAGTACAGGGAGGAAAGTTGGACTATAATTTATGAGGACGAGACCTTCATTCACAGCAGTCACAACAGATCTAGAAACTGGACAGATGACACTCCATCATGGTACATATCACTCATATCGAAGGGCCAGAGGCTGATTATTGTGCACACGAGAGGCAGAACTGGCTTCATTCCCAGGTCATTGTTGATATTTAAATCTCATCTCAAGACCAGGGACTATCATAGCGAAATGAACGCGACAAATTATCAGAAGTGGCTAACAGAAAAACTTATTCGGAATTTGCCTCCAGAATCAGTTCTTGTTGCAGATAATGCCCCGTATAACAACGTGCAGTTTAATAAGGCACCAACCAGCCAGACCACATAGGCCAAGATGATGGAGTGGCTTACAGTGAACAGTGTGCCATTTCATGACAGAATGCTCAAAATTCAGCTCTATGACCTAATAAACGCACATAAACCCCTCCAAAAAACTTTGTAATGGACAACATAATGGCTGCATATGGACACATGGTATTAGACTTCCACCTTATCATCCTGACTTGAATCCGATTGAACTCGTTTTGACTGATGTTAAGCAGTCAGTAGGGGCAGAAAATGTCTCATTTCATTTGGATGACATGGGAAAGAAGTGTGAGAAATGGTTCAATGAATTTGGAATAGAGAATTGGGAAAAATTTGCGACCACACCGAAAGGAGTGAAAATGAATATAGCGAAAAGGAGGGAATTAGAGAGAACGCTATAGAAAGAATTATCATCTGACATTCTGAAGACAGCAGTGACAGCGACTCCAGTGATAATGATACAACTGAACTCAGTGAAAACAGTGACTTAGTATGAGGCGTAGAAGTAATGTTATAGAAATTATTAAAGGGCAGACTAATCCTTGTTTGAAAGTTCTGTTTATTTGTCTTAGTCCAGACATTTTGCTGCCTGGAGCCTAATTCTTTTAGTTCTTAAGATCATACACTGAATTGCAAGGCTTAATTTTTTGTGCTACTGTGTTTCAAATTTAATGATGAGACAATACACATTCCATGCTCTATGCATTTGACATCTAGTAGCAGAAATGTGAACTTCAACATTACATTGTATCAATTGTTCAGATATTGCAACTGGAACAATACCATATCATAAAATTAGTCATTTCTGGGAGGGTCTCCAGTACTGAAATTTATCAGTGAATGGTCTGCAATACTGAAAGGAAAGACTCTGTCATGACCCATGACCCAGTCTTTCTAAATGGTATACATATTTCTAGGAAGGTTAGAAGTCCATTTTTGATGAACCCATTACTGCTGTTACTGATGCAGACATCCATCGTTTCAAGTCATATTTCCTATCTGACAGATATATAAATACAGGTGAAATTGGTGAATATCTAGAGGATCTTTGGAAACAGTCATCCATAAGCACCTTGTATTCAAAAAAGTGTCCACCAGATTGATACCATAATAATTAAACATGAACATGCTGGAAAACTGTGTGCAAAGATTGTTGGGAGAGGAAAGTGACTTTTGAGAGTACTGTATAATGATTGGGCCCCCCAAAACACCCCAGAAAGCAAAGAATGCTTCATAACAGGAAGTTCACATTTGCCAACAAAACGCAAGATTCAGCCTTCTTTAATCGGCGTTGTGGTAGCTGTCTTCTGAGGCACTTTTAGAGTCGTCCACATTGATTTCCTGTCAAGTTGGATAGCAGTGACTGCAGAGTATCACTGCCTTTGTTAATAGACCACAATAAAGAAACTGTTTGCAGTTTTATTTAAAAAATTAGGTATTCTTCACCAAGTTGATGCCAAGACAATACATCCATTCTTGAGAAAATCGTCTGAGAAGTGCTTTAGTATCTCCAGATTTTTGTCCACCTGTAATTCCAAAAGAGGCAATGTTAGAAACATGATTAATTCTTCAGGATGACTTCAAGAGAAACTTCTATACAGCTAGGTAATGAAGCTCATGTTGATGGAAACAATTGGTGGAACTGGAGGTGACTGTAGAAAAGTACAAAAAAAGATGTTCCTGGAATTTATTGATTTATGAATAATTTCCCTCTTATTTGGGAACCTCAGCTAAAGAGTGGAAATGTGTAGTTCAGTATGTTAGATTATGTGATTATTTCAAAGCTGATTTTGTTATTAAGAAACAGTGGATATATTTTGATACTTATATTCATATTTAATAGGGAGATGGACGACCACGAGTGCAGTCTTTTGGTGAGAAGGAGCTTTATATACAAACTTCATCTACAGGATTAAGTTCACAGACAGGTCTAAGCTCCAGTGATGGTAATGCTACTACTCCAACACCTTGTGTTACTCCACAGCCAATGTTATCTCGGCCTGAAGACACAGTCATCCTAAAGGTGCATGGTATTTCAGAAGCAGGTACAGTATTTTTGAAGTGTATGAATGCATACAAGCTTGAAGTACCCAGAATGTACAATATGAACTACATAGTCATGGTGAAGTCAGTATTATCACTTCTACTACAGTAAGCTCCTGTTTATCCCATGTCCATACATCTGGAATTCTCTTGCAACTGGTAGAAATTCCAGAGAAACTTTGCTCTTTTTATAAAGCTTCTGCGAAAACAGAACTGAAATATGCATATATTCACATGTCATGCGGTTACAAACCAGTACAGGATGTCCAGATGAAAGTTATTCAAAATAAAAAATTTATATCTCGGAAACTAATTATCATACACATATCCAGTTTATGTCATCGGAAAGGAAAACTCTGAAGGTTTTCATTTTTATGCCTGGCTTACGTGCATGTACCAGCTGGTGACCTTCGGTGAGCTCAGTAACGATGTTGACACCACAGGAATAGGTTCAATGTGTGTTGTGGCTAGCAGAGTTTCAGTCTCTTACAACTATCCAGCGTTGTTTTAGAACACAATATGGACATCAGCCTCCTGCACAGAAAAGCATTTGGTTCTGGGACAACAAACTGAGGACTGCAGGTAGTCTGTTGCATGTAAAATCTCCTGGAAAGATACGGACCTCTGAAGAAAATATCAGTTGCATTAAAGAGGCATTCTAGTGAAGTCTGCACAAATTAAGTCATGCTGCTAACTTGTAGTTACAAATTCCACGTTCAACAGTGCATGATGTGCTGTACAAAAGGCTCTGCCTAAGAGCATACAAGATTCAAATGATTCACGCGCTAAAACTGAGTGACCAAGTAGCATGCACAAACTTCGCTGTCGACATGCTAGAAAGAATTGACACATCACCCAATTTCCTCTGCCAAGTGTGCTCAGACTAGGCGACGTTTTGTGTCAATGGAGTTATAAATAGGTACAACTGCAGGATTTGGGCCAGTCAAAATCCACATGTCACATGTGAGTTAGAAAGAGGCAGTCCCAAAGTGAACGTGTGGGCTGGCTTAATGCACGACAAGGTGATTGGACCTTTTTTCTCTTCGGAAAAGACTGTGACCGGACATTCATATTTGGACACACTGGAGCTGTATGCCCTGCCCCAGTTACCACCTCAGACTATCACCCAGCAAGATGGGGCAGCGCCACATTTCTGCCACCATGTTAGGAATCACCTGGACAGAGAGATGGCTGCAAGATGGGTCGGCAGAGGTGGACCAGTCATTTGGCCTCCTAGGTTGTCAGATTTAATGCCATGAATAACATTATCTATTAGAGTAAGATCAACAGCCTTCAAAACGTGAAAGCCTGCATAAAGGACACTGTGGCTATGGTAACACCAAACGTACTTCAAGCAACCTAGAAGGAGATCTAATAATATCTGGACATTTGTTGTGCCACCAAGGGAGCCCACATTGAAATTTATTGAGAAAGTTATATACTCAGAAAATAACTTTGATTGTTTCCCTTTATAATGGTGTAACCCATAAATGTGTATAATAAATGCTATCTGAGATATAATTATTTTATTTTGGATACCTATCATCCAGGCACCTTGTATTTTGTTTAGCTATGTATAATAAATGCTTTCTGAGGTATAATTATTTTATTTTGGATACTTATCATCCAGACACCTTGTATTTTGTTTAGCTATGTATAATAAATGCTTTCTGAGGTATAATTATTTTATTTTGGATACCATTCATCCAGACACTCTGTATTTTGGTTAGCTGTGTATAATAAATGCTTTCTGAGATATAATAATTTTATTTTGGATACCATTCATCCAGACACTCTGTATTTTGATTAGCTTGGAGAAGTATCTGAAACAGGACTTAATTGTGTGATAGGTCCTGAGATTAAGGAAGAACTGGTACAAGTTCTCCAGAACAGACTGGATGATGCTGTTGTGGAGGTGTTGTATGTGATGCTAGCAAGGAATCCCATGTGCAAGCTCACACCAGATGATGTTCATTTCATTCAGAAACCATTTAAGGCTCCAGAGTCTGTGATTCAGGTAAGTATATTGGCATTCACATTTAACAAGTACAGTGAAGCCATCTTAAGATGTTTAAAAAGGTTAAAAAATAAACTTCTTAAGCTTGACAGATTAAAATTTGATATAACATTTGAAATTATATTTTTATTGAAGTTTTAACTTGAGTCTGAAAAGTTGTGTGTCTACACATCCCCATTTAAAATAATTCCTCACACACAGAGAAAATTTGCATGAAAAGAAAGTTGTGTATGTTCATTCAGAATCCTTTTCTAAATAAGGAATAATTGGAAATTGTTGCTGCTGGTGGTCAGTTTTGTTCTTTTTAAGTCATGTAACAATTTAGGCTTAGGAGTTAATGTCTAAGTCTACTCATACATCAGCAGATCTGTGATTGTAAAGAGTGCAGCATTAATAATGCTCTCTAATGAAAAAAATCAGAATTGCAGAGCTCTTGAATTGTACTTAATTTTTATTTCATCTTTCTTCATTTGAATCATTGTTAATTTCCGCAGTTTGTAAGCAAAATCTTTCTGAATTCTGAAGTATGATATTTTACAGTCTTTTTCTTGTGTTGTGCTTCACACTCACATTATGTGCTTGATTCCTTGCACTTGTGTTGCAGTTCTCAGTCCAGCCCCATGCTCTTCCCCATCTTCAAGCACTTGCTTACTATTTACGTCAGAACCTGTTGCAGTTTCTCTACATCCCCAAATACACTGATCCACGGTCAGAATGTCACTTCCAGGTGAGTATTTTCTTCCTTATGCATAATTACCCGCTCTAATATGATAAAATATTTATTTTTTCTTTGATAACTGCAGTTACCCTCTGCTCTGTGTTCTTGCCTTGTGTCATGATGTGATGAATCCAGCAAGTGCATTATTGTAAGAAACATTCACAGAAGTCGTATGTTTTGAACTCGGCAAGAGCAGCAGCCTGTGATTATTCCTGAGTTGTGATTATGTTACCAGATCTTCTCCTGTTCAGTGCCAACTTTAGTTATGGGGAAGAAAAAGTCACATTCTGCTAAATTTTGAGATGTGGAGAGTGTGGTACAACTGTCATGCCGTTTTTCATCAGAAATTTGTACATAGGCAGAGCAGAGTTTGTAGTAGCATTGGTGTAATGGAGAAACTAGTCTCCATTGTGCTAACTGGGTTGTTTGAATAAAAATGTTGGTTTTTAATTTGTCCCTATGGGTTGAATTCATGAGGCACAGTTCTGTGAATGCTGAAAAGCATAATACTCATGCTCTTCACACCAGAACGAACTTGTCTCACTTTCTTCACATGCAGAGATAATGGCCTTTTCCTCAGAGAAAGATGATGCTTTGCTTCAGGGTTATACCCATAAAGCCATGTTTCATTACCTGTGATTACCTTCAAAATAAATTTTGGGTACCTCTGAAGATCTTCAAGAATATCCTGATGCATGTCAACACCATACTGTTTTTGCTTCTCAGCAGATGCACATATTTGTTGGCAATCCCTCTAAAATATTTATCAGATTGAGAAAAAAGCAGTCTTCTGGGATGTGGCACCATGTAGATATTGTGTTAACGATGTTTTGGAGGAACGTATTGCCTTCATCTTCAGAGTAGAAGAAAAAAGAAAATCTGTGATCGAGGAATCAGCATAAGCAGGTGCTAACAGGCTAGTTGGTTAACACAATATCTACACAGCGCCACATCCCAGGAGACTGCTTTCTTCATAGTCACCGCCATGAAAACCTCAAATCTTACAATTATCAGATTGATTGTAATGCTTATAGTCAGTGTAAAATAATGTGACATGGATGGCGCAACGGGAAGTGGGAGTCACTTGAACTCTGTGTTTCCTCGAGTGACGTCATATACCCCCACTCCTTCCACCAGTATGCAACGCTCGGTGGGCTCCCCCACGGTGACGTGACGGAAGAGCAACTGTGTTAGGCAACCATTGCTGCGGTGATGTAACAAGGGATGCCGCGGTTGCTATGCAGCAATAAACAACTCTCGATAGCGTTGCCAGCAACACCTGTAAACAAGGCAACTAGGCAACAAGGAAGCGAGGCGTTTTTCTGTTGTCTGGCTTAGGGTTTATAAGAGAACTACACTGCCCAAGGAGTCAGTTGAAATATAGCAGCAGTCGCAGGAAGAAGACCCGAACACGTGTTTGGAAGATTTTATATGATAATTTGTGATACTGCCGAGGGCAGTAATTGTGAGATTGTAAATTGTGTAATTGTGAGAGTGAGTGTTCAATAAATTCGCTAGAACCAAGATGGTATGAAGTTATTTGTCACGTGACACACCCAACACGTGACAATAATATTAAACATTAAAGATATTTTGTCCAATAATTTCTCTAAGTTTGAAAATGCTTTATTGTTTGACTATTATCTTCTGTATGCACACCACTCTTTCATTGATAAATTGTGCTAAAGTATCAAAATAAAGAAATAATGGAGTATGTGAATGTATGTGCACTAAATTAGAGGTGAGAATATGGACAGATGTCCACCGCAATTACAACTGTATGCACGCATCTTTACACTTAGCCATTATAATTTTTAGTAAATAAACTAGGTGAATTCCAAGCTCTTTTCCTTATCAGTCCAACATTCCTTTCAATCTTAAAATTAAAGAAAATTATGCATGTTGAAAATGCCCATGGACCTCCAAGGAGGTTAAATATCCAATAATTTTGAAATTTAGACAAAATAAATTACACCTGCTGGATTGTCTTTTTTCGGACTATATGAACATAAAAGAGTTAAAACAGAAAATACAGCCTACATAAATTAATTTCATCTTAACATTATTGAGTTACAGGACTTCCTTCATTTTGTGAAAGTCAGAAATGCTTATATAGTGCTTTACTGTCTGTCTGTAATATTAATATTTTGTTTGATTTAGTAAATTAATTTATTGCATATGACTTCTATAAAATGTGACCCTGGTGATAATTTAGGATTATTCTGAGCCGGAAACATCAGCAAAGCGGGTCACTGAAGGAGACCTGTTCCTGTACAACCAGAGTCCTGTGTCAGGCAGCAAAGGCATAGCATGCGTTGCTGTGGCAGTTGTAGATGGTGAAGGCAATCTGATGCAGCATCAGAACTACCCTAAACCTCTTCCTTCTGCTCACCTGGAAGTACTGGATTCCACTGAATTTGCATCACTGACTCTGACTAAATTGTATGAATCTGGGAGCAGCCTCAACCAGGGGCCAAGTGAGTACACATTTTCAGTGGTACAGAATGGTAACAGTCTATGCTTGGAAAATATCTTTCCTGCAATTATGTACTCACATGTTTAATCCTGATGGTAGTAAAATCCTTTTCATTAAATTTGTGTTTCTTAATGTGTGGCTTCAGTTTTAGGGACTTTGCTGTGTCACATGTTGAAGGTTTTCCATTTTGGCAAACTTGTCAGGTGCCATCTATGTGACCTAGTCCCAAATTCCTTAGCCATACATTAAGCTGCAGCTATGAAAACCTAAGGACTATAATTATTTGTCATAGTTGAGAAATGCTGTGCAGTTACCCAAATTCATATCTGTTTTGATGAGTATAGTATTTTGTTCTGATACATCAATAGTTAAATTTGCTGTTGCACTAACAGATGATCTGTAACTTTACTAAACTTTGGAGAATGGAATTTAAGAGTTTGAACAAAAGTATTTAAATGTTATCTGTTGCTAGGACCAGCAGCTCTGCTTGAGTTCCGAATCTGGAAACAGGGTAGAGTGAACAGCGAATCTCTGACACAGAAGCTGCAAGCCTCAGTTCAGCATGCCACATGGGATCTGCTCATGGAATTTTGCCTACTGACAGCTCCATTAGGGGTTCCTTGTACAGGATATGCATCGCCATCTCCATCCCCACCTGTTACTGTCTCTGCATTGGTGTCTACTTCAGCTTCTCCATCATCTGCAGTCTCTCCTTTGCCCAGCTCAGAACCCTCAACACCTAGCAAAGGTTAGCATCATTCTCTTCTGTTGATTTTTAATTAAATAATTGTCACTGTATTTGAAAAAGTTTGATATATTTTTGTAACTTCTCTGTATCATTTTTATGTTTTTTAAATGCAGTTGGAGTAACGAGCTCATTTTTCCATATATGTAGATTCTTGTGCTTATACACAGGAGAACAGCTAGTGATATTACACACTTTGAAATGTTAGGTTAAACAAAGTAGTAGTTTGTATGGAGGTCATCTCTACAACTCCTTCACAAAAACAGTTTATATTGAAGATCCGTAGTCCAGTAGTAAAAATGTGCATTGGGCTCAAATTGTGAAGCTAAACTTTTTACCTATGTAATATTATAATCCTGTCATAATAAAAGCATGTCATGTTTAAATATATGAATTACATTAGAAAATGTTATTCACCTAAAAATGAAATCATTGGGTCCCAAAAGTAATACCATAAGAATAATGTTTGTATATCATTTTTAAAAGGATATCACACGTAAGAATAGCAGTTTTAGATGTGTCAAACGTTTTGTCCATTTAATAAGTTGTGTCAAATTGTATTATATAGGTACAGAAGGGGGGGGGGACAGACACATGGATAATGTAATATGATACTGAATATTGATGATACGACGACAGTATGACTGAAATGTCAAAGAGTATCATGCAGAATGGTGATAAATATTAAAAGTAACCTGATACATTTTCATTTGAGAACGAAGTTGGAATAATACAAGGTGGTTGAAATATGACTGAGACTGATTTTTTTTAAAAACCATAATTGCCAAACAATTATTTGCACATGTCAGTCTTAAACGTACTCCCCTCCAGAGTCAGCACATTTTTTCCAATGTTCTGGAAGCATCCTGATGCCCTTTTCAAAAAAGGCTTGTGGTTGGCAGCGTATCCACTCCCAAACAGTCTGGGTGACAGGGTCGTTGTCCACAAACCACATGCCTTGCAAGTCTGATTTGAGCCTTCTGAACAGGAAGAAATCACATGGGGCCAAATCGGGACTGTACGGCAGATGTGTCAGAAGGTTCCATTTCAATTTCTGAAGGGTATCCATTGTTGTTTTGGCCATATGGGGGCGTACATTGTCTTGAAGGAAGGCTACCCGCTTTCCACCTGTCTTCCGCTTGGATCAGAGCTTTTCCTTCACGTCTGTTGCCAGGAGGTCTGAGTAATAAGCTGCATTCATTGTTCTGGCATTTGTCAGAAAGTCTACATGGATAACCCCCTGCCAGTCCCAGAAGAACATTACCATCACTTTTCCTGCCGAACGGTTCCTCTGTGCTCTCTTGGGTTTGGGAGAACTGGTATGCTGCCACTTGTGTGATGACTGCTGGGACTCGGGAATGAAGTAGTGCACCCACGTTTCATCGGTGGTCACTGTAGACTTCAAAAATGCATCACCTTCATCTTCAAACTGCCGTAGGAGACAACCGGCAGCTTGCATGTGCACCCTCCCGGAGGACTTGTTCCCTGAATTTTTCTGCCCTTAAAAATTCCACAACCTCCGCCGGGTTTGAACCCACGTACCTTGAGTCATGAGGTGGGAACATTACCCCTAGACTATGGAGGCAGCTCACTCTTCCCCATACTGTTGTTGGAGTCTGTGGTGAATTTCAGCGGACGGGACGTTTTCTCCAATGAGGAATTTGATCACAATGTGTTGTTCCATGCTCCACGGTTCCTTCTGTTTGCTCATCACTCTAGCAACTCCCAGACAGGACTAAACAGGTTCTAACCCAAACAGGAGAGAGGATGGAGGTTGTGGCGTCACTCTCTCAAGGTCGCACAGCTGCTACATATTGTGGCTTGTATACATACAAATCAGTCTCGGTCATATTTGAACCACCTTGTATCTAAGTTTCAGATTTCTACAGCTGTCAGATAAATTCCAATATTGTTTTCACTCATTAAAAATGTGTGCACGCACACATTCAGTTCTTTGGAGGGGGTTAATGGAGATGAAGAATAACTATGAAGACTAAATTTCTGAGAGAAAATTGTTCACAGTTTAGTTTTTCAGTTTATTTTTGTTCAAACTCGGCAGTTGACTGTTGTGTTCAATATGTTCTTGACACATCATGGTAACAAGTAAAAAGATGTTAATAAAACTGTTAGTATCTCATGGTTAGTGAATGTGGCCTTAAGAAAGTGCATTTATGGAAAAATTGATAAAAACAGCTCATTTTGGTTCACTTACAGCTAAGAAGGCAGTGAGGCCAAATGACTCAAATAGCATTACTGAAAGGACATCAGATTTGGTTAATGATAGTCGGGTGAGTTGAAGATTTTACTTTGAATTGTTGTTATACAAACTTTCTACCAACAGTGATAGCTCATGTTTAGCATAATATGTCTTTTGTACAAATGTTCTTTTTATTAAAGTAAAATAAAAGTTTAATTTTATTGAAGTGTACATTCATTCCAGTAAAGTGTGTGAAGATACTATAAAGGTTCCCAAAGCCTTCACATAGGCTCTTCAGTGTTTCGGATGTTTTTATAATCATGTTCATAATTCTAATTACAAAAGTTGGCTCAGTGCTTGGATTACCTATTTAATGACTCTGTCATCTGCAGAGGTTATTTGGCATAGAAGGGAAATATGTATGGTCAGGTGCAAAAATGTAGCTGAGGAAGTGGTCATGGACTCTTTGAAGATGCTTTCTAGTCATTTTTGTGGAATGAGTGAGGATTATAAAAAAAAAAGAAATACATTCTCCACAGCTGATGCCCTAGCAAAGGATCATATTGGGCACTTCTGGAGTACAGTTAAAACAATTGACCTTTAATTGTGCTTACCACATGCATCTCTACAGATTGGGTCCTCTGCAAAAGCATGTAAGCCAGACCCACTAGAAAGTGGAGAGATTGGTGTCCTGCACAAGATGTACCATGCCACAATGAGGTCATGGTTTGATTTTGGTGTTGAGCTTGGGGTTCCAGCTGTCCGGAAACATTCAGTTACACTTACAGTGCGGTGAGTACAGTAAGGTGATGCTGTGGGAAGTACTGCAGTACACTTCACATGTGTTACTGTAATTCTATTTTTTATTCACATTGAAAGTATTGGACTTAAAATTATGTAATATAAACACTTTCATTCTTGTCCTTGTTTGTGTATGATTTGTTGTTCCATCATACTACTTTATTTTTCATGTATTTTTAATGAGGTGTGTTTTGGCACATTTGCATGCTTGTCTTATGTTGGTTCACATTATTTAATATCAGTGATCATAACAGCACTTCTCATGATCATGACAGACAGAGTTCCGTGCGTGAAAAATGTCACAGCAGTTTATTATTGTGACTTTATGCAAAATCTGTGCAGAAAAATGCATAAAAACTGACATCAGTTGCTCGAGGCTGGGCCGATCATTCTTCATGACAATGCTCGCCCACACATCGGGAATGTCGTAACAAAAAAGCTGCACCAATATGGTTGGGAGGTGTTGCCTCATGCTCCCTACAACCCAGACATGAGTCCACCAGACTTCGACTTATTCCCAAAGTTGAAACAACCTATGCGAGGCTGTCATTTTCCCTCTCTGGAAGAGCTTTCTGCTGCAGTACCTGAGCCTAGTTATGTGCTAGATCAGCCCTATCGATTGGTTTTTCCTATATTTTTCATGATCTTTGTCAGAATTATAACTGGCATAGTATGATGGCTATTTAGCGGCCTCCGTGGTCTAGGGGTAACGTTCCCACCTCATGACTCAAGGTACGCGGGTTCAAACCCGGCGGAGGTCGTGGAATTCTTAAGGGCGGAAAAAATTCAGGGAACAAGTCCTCCAGGAGGGACTTTAAGCCGTGGGTCCTGTGTCATAGATTTATGGCACATAAAAGAACCTCATGTCTCTAGGAGACCTCTGAGCTAACTTAGGCAAATTTTCCCGCCCAAGTATTTTCCAATGCCTCCGGTAGATGGGGAAAGTATTAGGTACCGCTGCCGGATGAGGACCGACCTCACTGACAGAAAGGGACTAATTATCAGATACCACTGCCAGTAGAGGGCCAACCTCGCTGGCAGAAAGGGGCTGATAATGGGCACCAGTACCGGTAGGGTATGGAGACAGTAGAAATTAAAGGGGGATGCACAATGGACCAATAACTGGTCTAAGTGCTTGGGGAAATCCACCTCCTCCAACAATGAATGAATGAATAAATGACTGAGGGCTATTTGCAAAGTAACGTCTGGTGAGTTGTTAGTAAAACAAGCAATTAAAAATATTTATTATATCTAAAAAACTATGTCCATATTTAAGCTACTTCTCAATATAGTTGCTGCTGGAAGTGAGGCACTTTTTATATCAGAGAATAAGTATTTGTATGCCTGTGTCAAAGAAGTCTGCCACCTCTGAGCTCAGCCACATTTTGACACCTTCCTTCAACTCCTCCTTAATGTTGAAGCTCTGTGATCTCAGCCAGTTCTTCAGGTGGGTAAACAGGTGGTAGTCACTTGGAGAGAGATCAGGTCTGTAAGGAGGGTGGTGAAACAATTCCCAGTTGAAATGCCCCAGGAGTGCTCTAGTGCAAGCAGCTGTATTGGAATGCACATTGTCATGGTGGAGCATTATACAAGATGCCAACATTCTATGCCTTTTGTTCCGAATGGCCATATGAATTTTTTTAGTGCTTCACAGTGTATTTCTTACTTTATTGTGGCCCCTTGTTGCATGAATTCCATCATCAGCATTCATTTCATATCACAGAATAGAGTTGTTATCATCTTTCTGGCCAGCAGATAACGTTTGTTCAAACTTTTTCAGCTTGTTTGGTGAATGTATGTGCACCCACTGCTTTGGTTGGTCTTTGGTTTCAACATTCATAAATTAAACCCACGTTTCATCACCTGTTGCTCATATGATGTGACTGAGAAATTCATTGTCATCATTGTGGTATCACTCTAAAAATCATAGCCAAGGCCATTCTTTGCATTTTGTGTGCACCCATGAGCATTTTCAGAACCCATCTTGTGTGAGATTTGTGTAAATTCACACAGTGTTCTGAAATTGTGAAGTATTGTCTTTCACAAATTTTTTGGTCAACATTTTGCACAAAATCATCACACACTACAGATAGCCAACCACTTCACTCTTCATTGTGAACTTTTGTTCGCCTGCCCATCTTCGAACATTCTGTCTGCACCATTGAATTACAGTTGCTTCATTCATTACATTTTGATGGTAAACCAGCATTCATAATTCATGATGGATTTCCACAGCACTCATGTTTTTAGCATGGAGAAAATTGATAACAGCATGAATTTCATAGCTGGTAGGATTATCAATCGCAGGACACATCATAACTCACTCTGTAGAGACAGACAAGAACAAACACCAGTTGACCAGTTATGTGATGGTTTACAAGGCAATGATGTGTGTGACCGCTACCTCATATGTGCAAGCTCTCCCCCATTCCAGCATTAGTTTCCTAAAATAAACCGAAGATACTTTCTCAGTAGCATTCATATAGTTGTGATTTCAAAATTGTATTTCTTTCATAGGTGAAATTACATACTACTTTATCTGCTAGCACCCAACAAGCCAACTTTAAAATCAGCCAGTCAGGAAACCCATGCTTCAGCACCACTGTAATAGCATATAGTGGTGAAAAATATTAATACTTATGTTATTAATTTTCAGACATTCGCTGACTGTGATGGTGCGAGAATTGCAGAGCCTTGTGATTCTGAATGCTGGTGATACAACCCCATTGGCGTTTTGGGAACATCCATTTTCAGAAGAAGAAGGACACTTGGAATATATTCCTGGTTCATTCATGGGACCAAAATTTAATGGTGGATCCTGTTACAATATTGGGATGAGGAGAGAAAGTTCAACATGTCTGCTCCTTGGAAGAAATTTGGGACAGTGGAAGGCATGTGTGGCAGAAGATGCTGGATTTGATCCAGATGTTCTTGATCCAAAAAATGGTATCACTTCATTATCATTTTTTCTTGTTGAGAGAGATGGTTGTTCTTTTCAATATGCTTTATTTTCATCTGTACAGTCATTAAAAATAGATATGCATATTTGTTATTTCCTATAATTATAATCAGGCCTTCTGAACTAATTAGTTTATTCTTACCCTTTTAATATCCCATCTAATGTATTTATTTTTATTGTAATGCTTTTCTTGTTTTGGAACAGTTATTGTTTCATGGTCAGTAACCACTTAAGATTGCAAGTCTGTGAGTCAAACCTGGACTCCTCTGTCACAACAGCATAATTTCATTGAGGCAGCAGGTTCCTCCAAAATCTATGAAATGTCACTGTATCCTAATCCCGAATACTACAGTCTTAATTTACATCTCCTCTTCTGCCATGATGGTGGGAGCAGAAGGTTCCTCAAAAACACTGGTACCTAGCTACCAAACTACACAGTGTCATATTGCACAAGACAGTAGTCTTCCTCGTTATTAATTTTCATCACTCTAATTACCTTGGATAAGGTCCTAAAACCATCTGGATTCTTGTATCAACTACAGTTTTCATATTATCTGGTTCCCCTTTTTACTTTCCAGACAGCTCTAACAGCAAACCTGACATTTAAGCTTAAAACATAAAGTATCCCAAATATGGTGTATCCCATATTTGGTATATTCTTTTTTAAAAGTTAGCAGATTTTCCAGAGCCTTGCCAAACCCTGGTACCAAGAAGATAGCTGTCCTGGTAATAAATTTTATGTTCACAAAGGTTACATGTGGTGCTCTAATAGTACCATGCACTGCCAAGAAAATGCAGCATGTCCATATCTGAAATGCCTTGAATCCCAATGTTAGACAAATTTCCTGTTTATAATATTTGTCAGCTTATTATGGAGTAATTTATGCTGTAAGTAAGGTGATAACATATATTTTGAGAATGTACATTTATTTGTCTACTCTTATTAGATTCAACTGAAAATTTAATTTGAAATGAGAGAAAGAGAAATATAAGATGCAATAGGATTGAAGTTGATACGTACATATCAGCCTTCATTTGGTAATGAGGAACAAGATTTCTCTGGAAATTCTGATATTCACCTTGGAAGTGTCTTTATATCTTTATGTTGGTGCTAGTTGCTCATTTCTTTCCAGCATGTTTGATAAACAGAAAAGCTTTTCATGAATTAACATTTTTACAGCACAAAAAGTGTTGCAGAAGTTCCCACCTTTGTTGATGCTGTCAGAACAACCGCCTCATTTTGTGCCACGTCAACGGCTGCTACTAGCAATTCTTAACAATCAAAAAGTATGTTTAATTTATATATCTAGATGTTACTGAGCTATTGCTTGAATAAATATATATAATTCCTTTGTGTAATGTAACATTTTAAGAAAAGTTCACAATGCAGTGGTAAATTGTGGAGGAAGTAAAGTTGACTTGTTTTAGGATGTCATCCTTTCTGCACCATAAGTGTGGATGAAACACAGACCAACATAATATGAAGCAGTTGTACAATAAAAGTGTAATGTAATTAGTCTGATCTATAACAAGAATATTGTTTTAATTTTCATATGTGCCATCAGTTTCATTATGTTAAACACTGTGGTGTTCAGTTTTATTAAGCGTACTTTTTTGTAGTTTCTGCTGTAAAGAATGTTTTCTCTCTCTTCTTGATTTGCATAAATGTACATTTGGTAATATTGCATAGCTGCTAATATATTGTCACATGATAGGAGTGACTCTAGATGGAATTTGGATCAGTAATTGGATTTATTGACTGCTTACAGATCATAACTACAAGTAACTATAGCACTATTGCTAATTCAGACATTCTGCAGTTCACTACAGCACACACCAAGTCTTCTCAGTCTGTTGTGCCTTCACCAGTTGTCTGTTAACAGCTTCCAGTGCCATAGTTTCCCCAGCTTCCATCTTCACACCCTTACTAGCTGGTGAATGTCTTACAACTGCCTAAACTCAAGTCAAGTCATGTCACATTGCTACTGACGATCAGTCAGTCTGTAAGTCTTGGTGTTGAGCCCCATTTGGGGCTCATGACCAGATATTTATTACTTTTTAACAGTTACAGTCTTGTTTTTGTGGGGCACCCTCTCTGACGAGAGGGCAGGTTTGTCTATTGTATATAGTGATGGTCCTTGCTAGCACAGTCTTTCTCAGGTCTGAGTCCCAAGGGACTTAAAGAACTTTGCTTCCAAGTTAGTCCTTTGATGCATGTTAGGAATCTGTTGCCTAGCAATGGGCATTGTTTACAGAGTCATTATTTAGCAACAGGTCTACGTGCTTCAGTATGGTTCTTCATGGCTGAAGAGAGAAAGAGAGAGACAATATGAACCATCATCCCTTGTGAGAGGGTACAGACCATTAAGTGACCCAAGAAACTTAAGTTTAAAAACTTTTCCTGTTTCATGAAGAGAAGTAGTCAAGCTTCCTGATTCACCTAACAGCCTATAGTTGTTCCCAGGGCCATCTTTCTTAAGGTGCAGGGTCATGTGCAAGGCAGCTAATGCAGACAACAGATTCTCTATCAAGAGTACTACCCCAAGTTCCAAATCTCAGTCACCATCTCACTAACAGGACTATTTTTGCAGAAGTGTTTAATTCATCACAGAAAACATGGTAGTGTGTGGTGTGTTGTGACTATTTGATATTCTGTAGGGTCAGTCCTGGTCATTTCATCCTCCTCATGCATCTTTTGATTAATTGTTCTCACAAAGCAACAGTACTTCACAGTATGTGAGCTGTCTCATTCCTTGATAACATAGTAGACATAATTCTATGGTGATAGCATCTATTGATGCATGCATATATTATTTGATTCACAGCTATAATTGAATTCTTCCCACCTTACTTACAAGTTTTGAATAGACTAAAATTGTTTATACATTATGGCGTGTAGACTCATTGTTAGGCAGTGACTGCAAAATAAGCTGCCATACAACGGCCGTTGCTAGGTAATGGCCGCAACAGAGACACAACAATAGAAAGGCTTGGGGGGGGCAGTATTCTCTGTGTTTCCTGTGCCAAGGCTATATACGTAATGAAGGCCAGCTGCTATTAAAGCAAAGTCTTTGAGACAGCAGTGGAAAGAGGAGGAGGTTGGTGTGAGATGGCCACCAGCATGAGAGTTAGTGGAGTGGGTTGGTTGTGGAGTGAGTGAGTGAGTGAGTGAATTAGAGGACTGCTGTTGTTCCATCCTTGTGAGCTGTTGCTGTTAGAAGCTCATAACTGCGGCACATGGACAGTTCAGGTAACCCGAGGAAGAGGAAGACCTGCCATTGGAAGTTGTCACCAGAGAATTGATGACGACACAGCAGACTGAGAAGACTTAAGTGTGTGTGCAGTTGTGAAATGCAAAGTGTGTGAATTAACAATAGTGCTGTAGTTATTTGTATTTAGAATCTGTAAAAGTTCACTAAATCTGATTACCAATACAAATCCCATCTCTAATCACTCCGTACGTGTGACAAAATACAAAAATTTAATGCCAAACCTACTAAATAGACCCCTTTGAAACCTGAATACATAATCACAAGATATATTTAGTTTTAGAGGAAAGTTACTGTGCTTTACATTGTTTTCTGTTGGTGAAGATTAAAAGATAATTGAACTATTATTTGTAAATATATAAAACTGTAATTCTAGCAAATGGATAAAGAAAAATATAATGTTACTCTGACTAATGCCAGATGATTCATTTCATTTGGTAATGGTAAAGGAATCAGTTTCTTAGTTGGGCGCACCCATAGAATGGACTGTATAACTCCAGATGGTAGGGTGAAAGGAACTAACAACTCACCGTGAACTCCAAGCCATGGTGGAGGAATGATACTCTTCACATTCACAGAATTTTACTTTTGTCAACAACGAGGTCTGTGTAAAATTCTCACCGGATCCAGCCAGTTCGAAGTCCAAGGCTGTTTTCACAGAAATCCAGCATCTTAACCCTAAACCATTGAGCCCCCTTATAAAGCGGCTAATTTATGGAGCACAGCATGTTAAGATCTAAAGGAACAATGAAATCTTGATGGCAGGATTTCTTATTACAGCCTGAAGTCTAAACAAATATATACTTGGTTTGTTTTGCAGACTGTCATTTACACATACAATTGGTCAAAAGAACGAGTAGAGAACTTTCATCAGCAAGCAACTCAATTAGGGCACTGGCTGAGTGCACGTTCAAGCCTCCTCACTAGTATATTCACACAGAAGATGGGGTTGTTCCACAACCAAGAACTGTCTCGCAAACAGCATGCCAGGAATACTAGTCTTGATAATAGTGCCATGACTGGAATGCTGATGAAGTCTCTGGAACACAAGGTATTATAGCTGTTCTTATTTCATGTTAAGAAGAAGAACAGGAGAATGAACAGTTTTATTACATTTTGGATGTTTTAACTTACAACTCAGAGTTCACATTATAATGTGCTGTATACCATATATTGCACCACTGTTAAAAGCACCCAGAGATCTGTATTCATTTTGTCTAATTAACACTCCATCTTAATCATCAGGTTTAGTAATATGAGTGGGCAAGTGTGATGTTGTAAGTTGCGTGAAAGAAGCTGAGAATACAGAATATGATGGAAACCAAACTGTTGATTATAGAAACTTCTAACTGATGCTGTGTGCAAGGAACTGGAGACAGATTAAATAAAACTTATTAATACCGTTGCTTCTGCTCTGTATCAAGTTTAAATTCAAGGTTAGTAAAACAGCTTCTGAAACACGTGGCATGTCATGAACTGCCTTTTGGTACATTCCAGTAATAGTACTTGTCACAAAGGAAATCACCACAATTACGATATCAACGAAGGCCAGACAATTTCGGTCCAATGTCCAGAGTATGGTGATTGATTTTTCCTTTTGTGACTCAGTTGTGCCACAGAAGTTGTCCCTTCCAGCCAAACTATGAGACAACAATATTATACAGATGTGGTGCAGAATACATCCTGAGAAATGGTTGGTTCATCACAACATTGTTTCAGCTTACATCAACCTGTCTACTCATTCAAGCTGTGGTTTTACTAATACAAATAGAACATGATGTCAGGACATATTGAAGGGTTACTGATCCACTTTTTGGCACTTTTATACACCATTTTAGCAAAATATGAAATGTGGGCATTTTTTTTTTTTTCATATATCAAAATTTTTAAATTTATGTGGCAATCTGAATCAAAGAGATAAGACTGACTTTGGGAAGTTAGATTTATTTTTGTATAGTGCTGCCTGTGCTAAATTTTACAATCCATCTGAACATTTAGCAGTGGATGAAATTATTGTGCTTTTCATAGGGAGTTATTTTCAGATAAAATGTTCTTAAGAAACATAAATGTTTTGATATGTATAATGGTTTCCAAAATGCATGACACGGCTGGCTGCACTTATAATATTGTAATGTGTTATATTACGCCCATCACTGTGCAAGAGCTAGAATAGGAACACATACTTCCGCAACAACAAATACGTGGAAATCGTTGAGTTCCCACAGTGACAAATCGAATACCAACAGACCGTTGCATAGAGATTGTGGAAACAAGAAACACGTTTCCCTGGAGATGGACAACAGAGGGTTTGTCATGTCGCAGCAGGAAAACCAAACCGTAGAGAAAGGTGTTTGCTAAGCAGTCTGAACAACGCCTATATCAGGGGGCTGGACGTACCAGATATTCCAGAGTTGGATAGACCCATGTGGAGGCTTGAAGCAGAGTTGAATCGAGAGGAAAGCTTCGGTCAGTGAAGCCTAGCATTCACCGAGTTAGTTGGATCGAGTGAACGGGATCACAGAAGCAGTAAAAGTGATAACAGTTGTACTTAAATGTGTAAAAGCATGTGTTCAATAAATATTTGCTGAATCTGAGACCCACGCGAAATTATTCGTTGCATTGCCTAGGAGACATAAGTAGGCTACCAGGTAACATGTGACAATATGAAAGTATGCTTGGAAATGGGCACATAAAATGTAACACAGATAATGCCAGCTAAATATGTGTCAGTGAAAAGCCTTACTTATAGAACAGAATTGGTAGTCTATTAATGTTACAAAAACAATCTCTTCTCCCATGTTTATTCAATAATCTTCTTCCTTCAGCATTACCATTTTTATGTAGGTCATCTGTCAACCATGCTTCTCATTTTACCTCTGTCCCACTCCGAAGTCTGGACTTACATCCGTGATGTAGGTGGCAGACAATGTCAAGAAGATGTAAGCTTGTCAGGGCAGAGTACTGTTTGATACCTAGTCCCTGGTACCTTCAGAATAGCTGAGAAGGTCTGACAAAAACCAGAAAATGAATGGCTGTTAGGGTTATAGTGAAGTTGTGACTGGCCCAACAAGCTAATGAAGGATTTTAAGCTTATTTTTAACAAATAATTTAACTCCAGGAGAACTCTTATTAATTTTATAACCTGAACAAAAGATCCTTCAGCTATTGTGGGAAGTGTCATATGTAATCATAAAAGGATGGTAAGGAGCTTTGACAGTAAGACATTTAAATGAATGTGGTAACATATATGCTAGGGTGCAAATACACCCAAGATGTAAATGTTGACATGTGTAGAAAAACAGTCATAGTAAGTGGCTTCTGTGATTGACAAGGGAAAGTTCAATAACTGCCATTTTGAAGACTGAAATTGAGGCATGGGCTATGTTGACAAAGGAGACAATGGCTAATAGCTATTCAAGTAGTTGGGAGATATAGAAGTGAACAGAGTCTTATTTTTCCACTTGTTGCAAATGAGTGGAAGGGAGCCTCATCATCAGTCCTCCACCCCACCCCCCTGAGGAGGAAGACAGACGTGACAGGCCAGTCAAATGAACTGCATTGAAGTTCAGCACACTGGTCATTGACTGCTGCAGGATCATGCTTGCAGCCTTGTGTGCACTTAGTCAAGAAGAACAAGCAGCTGTGAAACTTCTGTACTTGAAGTACAAAGTCACTCTGTATAGACCATTTATCATATTTCCCACACAAAGTAAGCTTCTAATTGTAGTTCCATCACAGAAGATACAGTCTGTACCAAAATAAGTCTCTGTAAAACTGTAGAAGTTAAGTTATACCTTTAGCTATTAATTACAATTTTAGGATATTAAATATGTCTGTACATGTGATTCTGTTCAGATTTCAAATCCATACTTGAGCAATCTTGGGGATATAGAGCAGCTAGTGAAGTTTCCTGTTGGTGTTGGTGCTGCTCATAAAGATGCAACAAGTCGCCGAGTTGGTTTCCCAACTTATTTGGGTTCTGCCATGGCATGGCGTGATGCCTTTCGTGATGGAAAACCCAGGAGACCAATTTCAAAGATTCCAACTAATACTGATGCTGTTGTGTGTCATGTTCAGCAGATGTTGGAAACACGGCAGATCGATAGGAAAGGTATTCTTTATCACTGTTTTCTGCTTCTTGCAACAGAATCTTAAGTCTTTGTTGCCTTATAACTTCTAAGTTGATCACACTTGTACAGTGCAATAATTGTTGAAATTAAGGCGCACAAGTGATTGTTTAAAGAATTCAGTCTTTTGGGATGTAATGCCATGTAGCCTGATAGAAGTTCACTGATCTTTTGCAGGAACACATTGCCTCACTCCTTCAGGGTCAAAGTAGAAGCCATGCAAGAAGCAAAGCTTGCTGCTTCCTTCTTGCTCTTGCATGCCTGCTTGGCTTACTCTTCTAACCTGAAGTTAGGGGCAGTACATTCCTCTCTCTGCTTGCTTCTTGCTTGTGTGGCACACTCTTCAACCCTGAAGATAAGGGCAGTACATTTCTCAAAAGTTGATAAACTTCTACTGGGCGATGTGGCATCACATCCCTGAAGCTGATATTCTTCATAATCACTGCTATGACAATGGCAGATCCAAAAGAGTGACTGTGTATTGCTTTTGTGCAATCTCTTGCTCCCTTTTTAAACTCATGTAGTTACCATACTTTTTGCTGGTAATTATCATTTGTACATGCTTAATTGATTGACTTAAGGAATCATGTCCATATACCTCATCTCTTAGCTCCTGATCGATTTTAATATACTTTAATGAGGGAATCTTATTATAAATTTATAACAAAAGTTGTTTGTTCCTTATTAGTCAGAATTGCAACTTGGTAACTAATGTTGTATTTTAGCATCCTTTTGCACTGATTCATGTCCATGATGTGTATGTATTGACTGTCTTCTAGTGCACACAATCTCACTTGTCACTTCACTACATGTTTCAGCGTCACTGTGCCGTCCTCAGGTGTGTTATTTACATTGAACTATTGCACTGTTTGCCATCATGTTTCATTTGTAAAATGGTTTAAAATATATATTCGTCATGTACTATAATAAAATTTATATATTAAAATTTTGTTAACATTTATCATCTTATACCTCGTATTTCAAAATCGCATATTATATCAATCTTCCGCTATAGGAGTCATTCTTCCTATATTTTGTGTATACTGCGTCTTGTGGCTGCCTGCGTTGTTTTGGTAACTAAATTGGTCTTTATGAATATGTCATTAAATATAATTTAGTTTGAAACAAAATAAAATTTGTTGCTCTAAGTGAGGAAAATATTTGATTTCCAGTATAAACATATTCTGTATGTCACCATTCCCAGTGTAAACATAGACATATGTAATCTCAAGTTTGTTTTCTTTGTGTAAAATCATGAAAGTATATTTAAAATACAGTTGTTGCTTACCAACCACTGATTTCAAGTGTCTATGATTTCCCCTTTGTATTCACTTTTGTCAACTTTGGTATTTGGTCTGATATGTCAATAGTTTTTAATCTGTATACAAGGAAACAGATTCCCTTGAAAACCTGAAATATATAACAGAACCAGTTCAGCAATTTTTAGTACTAAGTACTCTGCAGGGATATTGCAGACAAATTGAAGAGTAAAAAAATTTGTTTTGCGTAGACAAGATATAAAAACCAGAAGTAACATTCATAGAAACAGTAACTCAGAAATTGCTGTTCTTAGTTCAAAGGCGTTTGATGTGAGCTCCATTGGTAACCTCGAAAATAACCAAAGAATATTCAAAATTTACCATGATTTGCATAAAGTGGATGCTGCAGCATAATATATCTTGTTTTTGGCTTGAAGATTTGCTGGCAAGGGTGGGATGTAAATTTTTTCTTAATGTAGTCCAAGAAAATGAAGTTCACATTCATTCATTCATTTTATTTGACATTCATAATTGTTACAACAGTAACACTTGAACAAGTCACATCATTAGATATATCATTCTTGAAATCCTTTTGCCCAAATGCAGTGGTTCTGGCAGACTTCTGAACTTTGATGACAAGTTCATCATCTGGGCCTTTTCTTATTCAGCAACTCTGTTACAGCAAGGATAATGTGATGATGCACTGTCATGCTAAATAATCAGTTCTCTTTCAGAATTTTTATTCAGCTGACTTATCCTCAAAAAGGCAAGAAACACATTGCTCTTTTTCAACTTTGCTCTCCATTTTGGACAGTTCATGTTTTTATCTCCACTGGAAAAATCAGGAATTAATGTTAAGTATTGAATGAAACAAAATCTGTCAAAAAATATGGCTAAATCCTGAAAGCTGAAATTGTGCATTTTTAATGGTAACATAATGATAATATGATCTTATATATTTTCAATTGTTCTGTGCAATAGGTGTGATGATAGGTTACAAGTGCCAAAGATACTTAAAGTGGTGTTTCCAGTTGTGTTCCGTTTTTACAGTGTGTATTGACATGTGAAATGCTGAAGATATCTTTACTGATATTGATTTTATAAATTGATATTTATTGGTAGCACGTAATGAAATGCATGCCATTTTTCAAGAAAAGCCTTAAAATGTCATATAGCAAAGTGCACTGTGTTTAATGATATTTTATCCTTGTTAAACAGCAGAGGAGCAGAAGAAATTGTATGTGATGTGGCAGACACGCGGAGCTACTCCAAACATTCCACTTGCTGAAGATATAATTCACCTGTTCAAACAGAATTCACGAGTTATTCATTATTGTCTAACACCTCTCCTCTTCCTACCTAGGTAATGTACCTCAGCATTCGTTGATAAAACTGAACTTACTTTTACCTTTGTTTTAAATAGTCATCCAGGTCTGAATTCTCAGTACAAATTAAATTGATTCATTAAACATATAATTTCTGTTATATGGCAAAAATTAAATATATTTCATTAGTGGAAATTGGCTTCTCTTTCAGTAGTGTAATATCTGATTATGCTATTAACCAAATCCTGAGTCATGACCATGAACATAATTCGAACCCTAAAAGTATGTTCATCTTAGGATGTTATAGTTTGAATTTAACACGTATAAGACAAGAGACAAGAATTTGGAAAATTCTGAAAAATGAGGTGAGAACAAGACTTTTCTTCAGTGAAAATTTTTTGCTGTAATATGCTAAACACAGCCACTTTTTCAGTCGCTATTTACCCAACTGGAAGATGATTCCAAATGTAAGGTTACCCCACATTAGTAAACATGTCTGAACAGAAAAGTGATTTAATGAATTAATAATGCATTCCTACTACAATTGCATGAAAATAAATAAATATTTGGAAGCATATTATATATGAAATTCATTGAATTGCTTTCCTTCTTGAAATCAGTAACCTTTATCCATCTTCTCCAGTCTCTGTTCTGCACTCTTGTTATCTGTCTTCACCTCAGTGTTCTCACAATTCCCATCTTCTCTCTCACATTCACTGCTCATATTCTCATGGTCACTGTCGACATTCCAAACTTCTTTCTTACCTCCCTTCCATCCATTTCATCAGATATACAGCAGTGTTTACATCCATTGCCTGTGACTTCTGAAGAGATCCACTGGCACAGCCGTTTTGCCCTGGGCTTCTATATTGTCCTGGTGGTGTCAGAATATGGCCCTTGCAAGGAGCCATTCAGAATACAGTTTCACTGTTGATTAGCTAATCCTTTTCAACAAAAATAGTTGTTAATTTACTATGAAGTAGCTCAAGAGACCATTACTTGCTTAATTCATCTGATGATTCTCTTAGGTATGAAATTAAATTAAAGAAAATGTTAACAGAAACTCTTTCGATTATGATTGGTTTAAATCTGTGGTTTGCACCACATATTTTCTAAAGTGGTGATTAGGTATTAGACACATACTAAACACAAGTACACATGATATATTTATATTGTTTTACATAGTAATAGAATAGTATTTCTCAGGACAACATACAACATGAAAGCTAGTATATCCTTACCAGTTCATATTAGCTACTCCATAATAGTACCAGAATACCATTGGTGTTGGCATCTAAACAAGGTGGGCGCATTTAGTGAATCTATGCTGAACAGGATAAGGATGAACTTCATATGCAGGAAAATATAACATGTAACTTCTGAAGATTACAGTAGACCTTCAAAATTGAAATATATTGCAGGGGAATCTTCATGTAAAGGAATTTCTCACTTGACTTTCAGTGTTTAGTGTGATTTATTTTGTATGCAGTGACACATATATTTATGTTAATGTTACTAAAATATCATTAAGTATTGCAGCAAAAGTGGATTATTATTCAGGTGGAGAGTACAGTCTGCAGCAACTCGAGACCATGCACTCAGTAGTATGACTTCTACACCAAATGCATCAACACAAACTACAGGTGCTGCAGCCCCCAGTCCAGTTTCAAGGGCCCATCACACACATGTGAGTGGTTGCATATGTTCAGTTAGTTAGTTAGTTAGTTAGTTAGTTATTGGAGAGGGTGGGTTTCCCCATGCACTTAGACCTCTGTTGGTCCATTGTGCTTCCCTCTATGATTTCTACCAGTCTCTATATCCTACCAGTACTGGTGCTTACCATCAGTCCTGCCCGGCCAGCGAGACCAGCTCTACTAGCTGAGAGGTATCTATAATGCTTCCCCCATCTACCAGAGGTATTAGAGACTGCTGTTGGGTGGGAAACGTCCGTAATTTGGCTCAGTGACCTCCTTTGGAGATATGAGGTTCTTTTACGTGCCGTAAAGCTATGACACGGGACCCACGGCTTAAAGCTCCTCCCGGAGGACTTGTTCCCTGAATTTTTCCGACCTTAAAAATTCGACGACCTCCACCGGGTATTTGAACCTGCTTACTACGAGTCATGAGGTGGGAACGTTACCTCTAGACTACGGAGGCCGCTATATGTTCAGTTACTAAGAATAAGAAAATGTTTTAGAATTAAAATGGTTATTGAACTCAGTTTGTCATAATTTTCCCTGTAGAAATTCACAGTGTCAGTGGGACAGAACAGATGCAGAATATAACAAGAGTTTAATTATAGCAAGCAAAGTTGTCGTCATCATCATCATAGTTTTTTACACTATACACAAGGTGTTTCACGACTTTAGGGCATAACTGCAGGAGGTGATTTCCTAGGTCTTTGTGACCAAAAAAGTTCATATGAACATGTGTCTGATTTTGGACAGTTACGGAGTTATGACCATTTTTTATTCCCATACACGCCCTTGTGTGAATCGCGTCTGTCAGCTGGCGGGTCGCTATTTTTAGCCAGCTACAGACAGAGCGTTCTCATTATCTCGACACTTGAGATGTACCTAAGGCAGGGAGGGTTGGTATGTCCAGCACAGTTCACAACTGAGCGGCAGCCTGTGTTGCGACTGGCGGTGGCATTTTCGAAAATCAGCTTTAAGCACCAATAAATTCAAATTAAAGGTAATTTCACGAAGTTAACTTTACATTCATACTTTAAATGTATCATGTATTATGCTGGTTTATTATTTTGTTCCGTTTATTGTCAGTAATCGTTACCTTCTTTTCTGAGTTTAAAACGGTCATAACTCCGTAACCGTCCAAAATCGGACACATGTTTATATGAACTTTTTTGATCACAAAGACCTAGGAAATCACCTCCTGCAGTTATGCCCTAAAGTCGTGAAACACCCTATATCTATCTCTCTCTATGTGTGTGTGTGTGTGTGTGTGTGTGTGTGTGCGTGCGTGTGTGTGTGTGTGTGTGTGTGTGGAAAAAAATCAATTATGAAATGAGAGCTTTTTCCCATACCTGTACCATAATTAGTGACCTCTAAGTAGCTGTGACATTTTCCATGATTTATGCTTGGTAGTCTATGAAGGTACCACTAACCCACACACTTATCTCTCCCTTGTCTCAGAGAAGAAAGCCCATATTCCAGACTCTGCCCTCTGCAAATTTTAGCATGTGGAAAATGTCTATCATGTGATGTAATCTAAACTTCCCCTTTGATTCAATACTTTGTATATGGTACATTATGCTGCTGAGTAGAAAACACTGTTCACTGTTGTACCCCAAGCATTTCCGTGGGAATGCGTTTGTTTACAAAGGCATTACCCAGTAACAGCTGCATATACTTGCTTATTAAAAACCTGTTGCCTGGTAGCAAATGTTGTTTCATTCTTTATGTCAAGGTTGTTACTCAGTAACTGGTTGACATGCTACATTGCTCTCTCCTTAAGGCTATTCTTCCTGAATAGCCTACAGGCATACCCCCATTTCTTCCCTTCCCAGGGCTGTGCTTGTGACTATAATCAGTCTCACCTTTCTCCTTGTGGCTCAGCTTTCATGATGAGTACTCTCCAACTGCTCCCACTCCCTCCTTAAGGCCTCTCAGCACAAGTAGTTTCCACATAGAGTGCCAATCGATTCAGGTCTATCACCATCATACTCCTTTTCCACTCAGTGCAGGCATAAGATCTGAAAATGATCAGTACTCATACATCCATGGCCCTTAAGCTGTTGTTAATGGTCTCCTCTTTCATTTCAGAGGGGGCCTACAGGTCTACATGCTACAATACATATTAGTTCCTGCCTATATAAGATTTACTGTCTTCTGAGCTGTCAGATTTTTTTATTGTGGTTGGGTTATGGCACAATGTAGTCTGGTAGGTGGTTACTAGCATTTCAGAGGAGCATGCTGTCTCTCCTATAAAGGCTTCAACCTTGAAGATGGGTACAGTATGTTCCTTTGACATGTTGGTACCCCCCTCAACGTAGTGATGTAACCAAGAAAACCACTTATGCTTGTATGTTTTGGTTCTTTGTTAATCAGTATGTTAATTCTGAATTTCAGCACTCTCATCATTCTTCTGGCAACTCCACTGCATCAGTACTACAGACAGGACAAGTTGGAATGCCATCACCTACTCTTCACAAACAGTCTGATGACAAATGGCATGGTGCACTTTGTGCCAACTTTGTACATGAATACAAACAATATCTCCAAACACTGGGCTTTATCCCCATCCAGACAGAGCCAGCATCACCGAGAAAAGGGTGGGTACAAACGGAATGTTGTTTTATGTCCATCTTAAACCTTTTGGTGTCCGATGGCCAGTCAAATGGCCAGCAAGGGATCTACTGAAAGTTCAACTGGCAGATCAGTCAGCCATTTTTCTTATACTAGTAATTTCCATCTTTTCTATTCATTCTATTCATTGTAACAGACACAGTGAAGCTTCTACTCACATCTGAGTATGATAAATTGTAGATGATTTATGATCAAAGTTATACTGATTTTTTCCAAAATTGTGTCAGAGGTACTATTTAGTGTTCCTAGTAATCTTGCTTCTCTCACTTTGATGCTCTGTTGGACATTTAAGATTTTATGTGTGTGTGTGTGTGTGTGTGTGTGTGTGCGTGCGTGCGTGCGTGCGTGCGTGCATGGGTGGGTGTGTGCGCATGTGCATGTCAAGATGGATTATGAGCCAGTAGGTCAAGTTTTAGATGAAAGTGGCAGTCCATAAAAAAGTGATTTGTGGATAATGTCGATGACTGTGATTACATAATACCAAACCCTCCAAAACAAAGGAAACATGCTAACATATTCCTGTACATCATTTTCCACCAATTTATAGTATTTCCAGTTTATCAGCAGCAAAATAGTACATAATCTTTTATCTTTTCCATATGTACAAACAATCCCTTTTGTTTCTCTTTGTACCTATGATGCTTATATTTTTGCATTATTTTCTATGCATTTAAAAAATATCTCTGTTGTTGATATGAGCCTCTCTTAATCAGTATTTAATTATTCTGTATAATACTAGTACTTTTTTCTTGCTGCTCGTTTTACCACATTCCTTTATGCATATCACATTAACTTAACTTACATTACTAATTCATTGCCCATGCTTAAGAGACATGGACTTGGTAGCGGATACAGCTCTCCTAGAACATTCAAATCACTTGTCACCACTCTAATTTTTTTATGTTACATCAGTACCAGTTATATTATTAATCAATTCATAGCATGGCCACAACACAAATATCTGAGTTTCGGTGTGGTGTATCTCACATGTTAGAGCACACCCACACAGTAATTCTCCTAGCTGCCACTAGCATAGCTACCCATCATCCTTCCTCCTGCAGGTGCCATTACAGTAAGGTAGAGTAGTTGAATTTGTGATCGTGTTTCAGCTTATGTATCCAAAATCGTTCACATGAAAATCTGTTGCACTGCATAGGAAGACCAGTGCAAGAGCTAAAGAGAAAAGTACTGTTTTGTCTTTGTACTGGACTTCTGTAAGTGTTTCTTTTATGCAGCCATCAGGTTCATGTAACCAGAACATGAACCTGACATGTAAGGAGCAGGTACATAGGAGAAGCCTGATCATGACAGCTTTAACAGTAATGTGTACAAATATTTCTGTTAATTGTGGTTTTATATGATGCAGGTTGAAGGGTGGAAGTGTAAAGGTTCCAGTAAGGGATGGAGAGGACAGTTCCAGCAGAAGAAAGCAACCAGACAAGGATAACAATGTGTGCTACCTTCAGAAGTCTCTACTTGGAGGCATTCTTTTGTTTGAAATATTACTCTGTGAGCCTTTTTTCCATGCCAAACTTCATGCATTAGAACGCTCAAGACTGCAGTCAAAGTCATCCAGTAATGTGTTATCTCAGGTATGTGAAACACCATGTGCCATTATGCAAATTGTTTTCAATTACAATGGCCCATGAGATTTTGACAGGAAATTTGTATGTGAATCCACGATTCATATCCACAGAATCATATTGTTTTTGGTTGAAGTATAAAATAACCTTCAAAATTTCTTATGATACAAAGACCCAATATGTATTATTTAATCAGAATGTTCACATATTTGACATATGAACACTCAAAGTTCATCTTTTATTTGTGTATTAAAAATATATGCAGTTGTAAATGTGTTCATATTGCTGATAATATTTTGCACTCAGTGTTTAAAGCCAGATTGTACAGTTCTTTTTTGTAATGTACCATAGCTCTGTATTGTTGTATCTTTATTGTCCATATTAATTAAATAGAATTTTAAAATTCCCAACCTGTAACTTAAACTCTGTCTTGAACATCAGACTGATACTTTGAGCCCAGTGTAACATTTTTTTAATTATTTTTACACAGTAAGTCCAGGACAGTGAACACTAACATGTAACTCAGCAACACAGGAATCTGGGAAACCTTAGGAAGTTCACTTTGGATTTTGGCACACTGTTTGATCCTGTGCCAGAAATTAGTGAAGAGTGAAGTGTGTACCTTTCAGTTCTGCAAATTCTCTTAAACCACAGTGCCTTCCAATTTCACATTTGGTAGCATCTGTCCATTCACTAGCAGTTACAGTTTCAGTCTTTTTAGTTAGGTTGAAAACTCTGCTTATTTCCTCGGTGGTAGCACAACTTCTGCCTAGTTTAGGACCTTTGAAACATCTCGACATCACCTTCAAAGCATACAGGTACATGTTTATAGAGTTGACCAAATACAGTACCCACAGTTTTGTCAGTTGAATATTTCTTGTGAATAGCAGTGCTGTAGTGAAAAGACACTTTAGTAAATGAACACCATATTCTGCCCAACATGGAAACCTGAAATATTTTGACTTGCATCAAACTGGACTCCAGAAATATATTCACCACAGTTAACAGGTTCCAGCGAAGAATATATAAATATTATTGATTCATACTATGAGACTGTGAGTAAGTGGATTTAATTAAATGGGTTTTTATATTAAGTTTTATTTCTGTAGATGTGCTATAATATGTATCTGAAAAGGAACTACTGTTACAGAACTGTTATACATAATGAAAAATTCATGTGCATATGGCAGACTACTATCAGTAATATGTGCATAAAATTATTTTTGTTACCGAATAATTTGTTTATGTATGTAAGCACTGTGATGGCTATGATGAGCATTATATAATATGATAGCTCAGTCGGTATAGCAAAGGCCTACAGTTTTGACAGCCTAGGTTCAATTCCTAGGTGTGCAAATTTTTTCTCTTCTCCACAGCATCCAGACCAACTCTGGGGCACACTCAGCCTCCTATCCAATAGATACTGGGGGCTCTTTCCCCAGGGGTAAAGCAGCAGGACCATGAAACTGACCACTTGACTTCATCTGGTGCTGAAGTCAAACATGGAGCTATACCTCCACTCCCCCATATGTCTTCATGGCATAGTACTTAACTAATTAAACACAGGAACAACTTTACCTTTCTTTTTATGGTTTGTTGCTGCTGTTGCTGTTTGTGTTTTAATTTAGATGAGATTAGTTTGTATCAGTTGTTTTGTTCTGCTGTGGCCTGTCCTTTGAGGGGAGGAGTGGTGTATATTATTGTGCAGAATATCCCAACCCTCTTCCTTGGCCTGGATTAGTAGCAATGGGTGAATCTCTAAGAGGAGGGTTGCTTTTAGACAATTACTTATGTCACTCTTCACCAAGGAAGCCATGTATTTCTAAAATAGTCATATCTGTGCCAGTAATTGAGCACTTTAGGGTATGAAGATAAGTATATTATTTCCTATATACAGGTGATTCACGAAGTTTTACCCCGGCTTGTGGTTATTTCCTGCAAAATTTCCTTATAAACTTGTGGTCGATTTTCAGTAGTTACAGAGTAACAATGGATTTTTGAAATGCATCATTGTGAATGCAGCGCTATGCCCCCCCCCACTGGGCAACCATGCATTCCAGTCAGCTGTGTCAGCAGATAACGCAGACTGGCTGGAATGTTACACATAGGTAGGCAGAGTGTTCCAGTCGTAAATAGGATGTTGTGTTGGTGACTGTGAAGTTAAGATGCTGTACACATTTTCCACTGAGGAATACGCCGATATGGTGTTTGTTTTGGGTATATGTGATGGAAATATATGAGCTGCTGCTGCTGAATATGACCAGTGTTATCCTAATTGCAGGATTCCGAATCCTAAATCCATTAGCAGTACATTCAACACATTAAAATAAACTGGTTTTCTCCCCAGCGTTCATATACAATATGAACGAAATCCTCAGCATGAATTGTGCGAAGAAGAAAACATTCTCGATGCTGAGCGGCTCGGTGTTTCTCAGTCCATGGTGTGGAGGACTCTTCATGAGAACGGGCTGCATCCGTATCATTTACAGCAAGTACAACACCTACAACCGGGAGACCGTGCTCTCCGTCTACAGTTCTGCAGCTGGTTAAATGGAAATCAGCAGTTGTACCGCTTGATAATGTTCTGTGATGAGGCACAGTTTACACGGGACGGGGCCAACAACAGTCACAACTTACATGTTTGGGCAGACAATATGGAATCAAATTTTCAACACTGATTCAGTGTCAAAATCTGGTGTGGTGTTCTGTATGATCAGCTAATCGGGCCGTTCATTTTATTGAATTTGGGGCGGGATGAAGGACATTGTGTACCAGGGAAAGGTACAAACACGTGAAGCATTGCTTGAACATATTCTGGACATGGCGATGACAATAAGGAACAAACGTGTGGAACTGCGAAATGCTGTGAGCGCAATTCATATGCGTGCGATGTGTTGTGTTGACATGCAGGGAGAAATTTTTGAAAATCTTATGTAAATCCAGTCGTCTTCCAAAGCACTACAGTTGAAAGGAAACTGATTGATAGGAGGGTGTGATATGCAACCATTTGTATGTTTACAGAATGGGATGCTGAAAATAATGTAATTTTGTAACATAAAATCGATGAAAAATGTTGCGCAATGCAAAATTAAGAAATTTAAAAAAAAATGGTTTTAGAATGCTTCTTTCCTAAAACATTAACGATTTAAAAAGTGTTTGTATTGTATTTCTAATTTGTTTTGACTGAAATTCGAAGAAGAAAAGATTTTTCGCCAGTTTTCAAATTACTGTATCTCTTTAATTATGAGTTGGATACCATTAGTATATTAACATTTTTTGTTCCAAATTACCTCAGGAATGCCCTCCCTAAGTGGGGGTATAACTTCGTGAATCACCCTGTATACTAGAAGGAAAGCTGATACATTCAAGATAGATCACGGAATGAATTTAGAATGAACTATGTAATCCATATCAAACCCTACTTTCCAGGTGTATCAAATAAAATTACAAGGTAACACAAAAATATCATCACATACCCAAAAGTTATAAAAAATACTGCACCTAAGAATCAACCTAATAGGAATCTGAGCCAGATCAAGACCCTTAAGACACAAGACAGTATGTTCAGTAGCTTCAGACTGATGAACAAAGGACTCGTCATGGCACTAAGTGGCATTGAGTCTGATGACTACCCTCCCCACAAGAAAATGACCTGAAGTCAACAAGCAGTAAGAATATATACTTTCCTGAAAGGTCAGTAGTGAACCACTGACCAACACCCAAAATCTGGGGCTTCCCATAGGTTCTCATTTTGCACCCTAACATTCTGACAAAATATGGTATATGTTCTGCTGTAAAGCTTAAGTAATTTAAAGTGTAGCAAAGCTTTCAATCTATGTACCCTGCAGTCACCCCATCCTTACAAACTCTCAGACCACCTGCACTCATACCATTGGCATGGAGCTGTACTGGTGCTGGGAGAAATCATGTCACACCTACAGAAGGGTGAGCTCCTAATGTATCCCAGCAGAAATGAGTCTCTCCTAAGTGCTAGCATAGCAGTATTTGTATTGACTCTGTAATTGACCTCCAGGCTGTTGAACTCACTTTTTAATAAATAAAGAATTTAGTAGAATTGTTGCTGTCATAAATATCACAAACTGGCATTGTAATTGACTTTTATTGTACAGGGTCTGTAAATTGGTGCCAAAACGTTAATTGTAATGTACTTTGTCTATGTTTGCAGTTTACATTGAGCTTCCTGGATGAATGTGACAAGATTAAAATCCTCATGCACCTGCATTCATTTACATATGACTATCACCTTCGTAGTATCCATAGCTATGTGTCTGGACACCAAGCTATTTTGAAGCAAGGCTATAATCTCACCCATTTCCTTGATGACTTTCTGAAGTATTACTCGAAGGCACCAAACTTTGCAAGAAACCTAGTGCATGCAGGTAATATTTTGAATAGTTACATTTGAGACTATTTACTAACATAATTTCACTCATGATTGCCTTTAGGCAGCTACTTATGTCACTGTTCACCAAGTAAGCCATGTATTTCTAAAATAGTTTTCACTGTTGCTACAGAGTATGGTTTTTCAGCAGCAGATTTTGTTTATCTGACAAGTGACAGCAGACAAAAATGAAGTGGAGTTGAGGTTCTCACAACAGAGAATGTGAATACAATTATTATGTTTCTGGACATTATCCATCATCCTGTTTTATTTAAAACACAACATTTCTGATACTGGGTTCTACCTCCATCTTCAGGTAAAACCTACTCAGTTTGGCCTAATCAATAGAGCTACTCCCTATCTCCAGACACCTGCACCAACACAAGGTAGGGTAGATGAACCAAGCACAGCACAAACCATCTGCAAGAGTTAAGGCAGAACATCAAAGAGCCCCACACATAAGAGGCCTAGCACCAGAATACTATCAGAATAGAAGTCATAACTGGAGAGATAAATTCTCTGTATGGTACCAACATAAACCACACTAATTTTTGTACCATACAGGGAATTTATCTCTCCAGTGATGACTTCTATTTTGATAGTATTCTGGTGCTAGGCCTCTTATGTATCGAGCTTTTTAATGTTTTAAAGTTTTGCCTTAACTCTTGCAGATGGTTTTTGCTGTGCTTGGTTTGTATACCCTCTCTAGTGTTGGTGCAGGTGTCTGGAGATGGGGATTAGCTCTATCGATTCAGCCCAACTAAGTAAGTTTTACCTGAAGACAGAATCCATTCTCCAAGACATTATTAATAGCTAATGTGATGAAAATCTTTGTAAAAGTACCAGCTAGAATAGAGTTCTTTAAAAACAAAGTTCCAGACACACCTTTTCACCCAAACTCCAGTAACTACATGTGTGGGCAGTCCGGTTGGATGCCATTGTGTACTATTGAAAAATATTTTAAATTCTTTATTCTATGGTAAATAAACTTGAAACAGACTCTGCTTCCTCTGTTGCAATATTGAAAGACATATTTAATGCCTCAAATGAACTGAAGGTGCTAAAATCTGACTTGGCTTATATTCATACAAATTTTCTGCTGGAAACAGTAAATGACATCAGTGGCATTTAAGAGAAGCTTCACAAATTCAGTAGCTTTGAAGCTGATGCAGTAGAGCAGAAATTCCATTCATCTTTCACTAATAATAAAGGTTTTAAAGTCACATATGAAATTTAGAGGGGAAATACCTAATTGATTCCAAGGGCCTAAAATACTTTAACTTTTTTTTTTTTGCTAGTGGGGTGGGACTAAGTCCCTTGTACTGCAGCCACTTCTGGCCTAGTATACTAGCCCCAGATGATAGATGAGGGTGAGATTGTGGAGCAATTGGTGGAATTAAGATTGGCAGGGGAAACCGAAGCACTCGGAGAAAACCTGCCCCAGTGCCACTTCGTCCACCACAAATGCCACTTGACCAGACGCAGGATCAAACCCGAGCCGCCGCGGTGGGAAACCAGCGACTAACCGCTTGAGCTATGGCGTGGCCTACTTTAATGTTAGTAACACTGTGTTGGGGCATGCAGTAGCATAGTTTGTTGAGTCACTGTGCTACAAGCTGGAAGGTCGTAGGTTCAAGTCCCGATGAGGTCATTGGATTTTTTTCAGTTGACCTAATCCTTCCAGCCTCGTATGGCCCTGGGGTTGACTCAGCCTCTAACAGAAATGAGTACCAGGAATATTCTTGGAATATTCTTGTGGGTAAAGGATGGCCGGCACCTAGGGCTGACAACCTTACCACAGTCTGTGAGCCAATTGTCTAGAAAATGTGGGAGCCTCAACATCTCACATCCCTATGGGCCTCCTCATCCTGTTACAGGGACACCTTTACATTAGTTTTTAGTTTTTACACTCTTTGTTACAAGTATGCATTACTGATATCATGAAATGTGGACTGTACATTTCCTCAACACAAATCACTCTTTCATGGTAACTGAAATAGAGTAATAATATGTGACTCGGAGATGATTTTTTTCATAGTGGAGGAAGGGAAGAAGAAAGAACTACAATTAAATTGTTGCACTTAAGACGGAGTTTGTCTCATATACACATAATAAATGTTTACTAATTTGTTAACACCTATAAATCCATTTTCTGCTGATGAACCAGTAATGATCATAATATAAAAACACCTTCAGTCATTGCATCAGGTGCAGTATCCATATCACACTTGCATAGAAAACTGGTTATGTAGGAAATGGAACAGCAGAGAGATTGCAGTTCATGAAATGCAGGCACCTGTTAGAGAACATACAAGTTGCTATCAGAAAATTCCTGGACTAGGTCAAAACAGAAATGTTGACTTAACTTACTCAATTTTGGTTGCTATCTCCTTCAAAATAGTTCCTTGGAAACATATTCTCCCCCATGTTTCAAAAGCACCATGGAAGTAATTTTCCTTAATGCTGTTGAGTACCGTTTGTAATTCCCTTTGGATGTCAGACACTGTTTCAAAATGTCATTCAGTTTAATTTTCAATTTGGGAAACAAAGCAAAAGCAGGAGGCTAAGTCCAGTGAGTAGGGAGGATGGTGAACTATAACCTTGTTGTTGTTAGTCACGAACTCTGTAGTTGTAAGGGAAGTGTGAGCAGGTGCATTGTCATAATGAAGGAGCAGTGTGGTGCATATTAACATTTTCTGTTAAGATCTCCTGACAAACTCCAAAACTGATCCCAGCAGTGTCTGAGAGCTCATGGATTGTTTGGCAGCAGTCTTCGTCGATAAGTTCCCAAATTTTTCAACATTTTCTGTCGTTTTGCTGGTGCTTAGTAGCCCAGAACGTTTGTCATCTTCAACTGACACTCGATTGGCCTTGAAATATGAATGCCATTCAAAAACCACTGTCTGGCTTAAATAATGTTCCCCAAAAGCCTCATGAAGCATTTCAAGGGTTTCAGTAGAAGATTTACTGAGCTTCATGCAAAACTTGTTGCAGACACATTGCTCAGTTTTGCCATCCATTGCAGACAAAATGAAACATGAAGTTGAAAAATCACTTGTGTAAAAACAATGCGTGTTCATTGCATGGTGTCATGTGGCAGACTGACACAATAGGCTTTCGGAAGTGTGACCTTGGCCTCCCCTCTCATCTTCCACCAATGCAGTTACAACATTAATAGTCCAGGAATTTTCCACTACCATCTTGTACATCATCCCAAGGTCTCTGAAACAATTTTTGTCCTGCAGTTCTTTCCTACCAGTAGTCAGTATGGGTTCAGTAGCTGAGAAGAAGCTCTGACATATATTGTCCACTATCTGTTTCCAGTGTTTCTTCTTACAAAGTCTTGATCATATGGAATGTCACCCATATACACATAAGTTAACCCACATTTGTCTAGTGCAGGGAAGTCTTCTTCAGTTCTGTTAAGAGTGTGACACATGTGACTTAACATTCTCGTGCTCTAGTCAGATTCTTCATGACAATTATCAAAGTATATCACCCCATTTTAACTTTTCTTATTAAGATAAGACTAGTAAAGTAATTGTAATAGTTTTCATATAGTGATAACATAATTTATATCGTTTATTCAGGATTTATCTTTACCCTACGTCTAACTTTTAAATGCATTGTAGATTTGCCATCCCTTTAGTCTGCACATTAACTTATGTTGCTTGTTCATGCATTTTGTTTCAAACTTCCATACACCTCATGAAGTAGGCAACAATAGCCTTAGAAGCTAAGATGCTTATAAAGTTACATACTTACTAGTCTAACTCTAGAATACTAATAGTGCTCCATAGATCTTAAAAGATAATAATACAGCTAACCAGAACTAATGTACATAATGAGAGCCTCAGGAAAGTTCTGAGTCTTTGATACAATTTATGAAAATGCTGATGCATTTGTCTGTAGATGTGTTAATGGTGCATGATGTGACAACACCTGCCCGGCAGCTGTTCAGCTACCTCCTGAGCCACGGGAAGGTCTATAACATGGAGGTCTTTCGCATGGCTCCTGTCCCTGTTGCAGCATTGAATGATTCTGATTATGGAAAATATGATGCTGACTCTGATGTAATTGTTAATTATTACTTATTTTATATTTAATAACATTTCTTCAAGTTTAAAATTGAAGACAGAAGTTGCACAACTAATACTAATTCTGAGTTTGGAGGTACTTGGGAAGAAGTTTTTAAAATATTAGCAGAGCATTTGCATACTGAGGTAGCAAAAATTAGTGGAACCCCATATTTGAACCAGATACTTCCCAAATATCAATCAGGAATCATGACCCCAATGCCATACATGGTAAATCTGTGGTATAACATGATTCACAATGAGTAAAATCCTGTTTTGTAAATAACTGAAGAGTACTGTCTTCTGGGATGTTATGCCATGTAGTCCAGTAGAAGTTTACTGATGTGTTTGAGGTCCCTTCTGCCACAGCTATTGGGCGAAAGAGCAAGCAGAGCAAAAATATATGCCATAACATCCCAGAAGATGGTACTTTTCTTAGTCACTGCCATGTGAACCAGATCTTGCATAATAAATAATCAGATTTATATGTTCTAGTTGTCTGCAAATTCTTTATTACTGTGTAGTGTTTTTAACACTCTGTTTTGTATTTGGAAGATTTCTGATTTTAACATTTTATGTACATGCCACAGTGAACACTGTAATTTACTTCCTGATCACAGCATACAGGTTGTTAATTTATTTGTAGTTTATTGAATGATTCTGTCAGTAACACAGACTGTATGGCATCAAATGATTGGTTGACAGTGAATGAATTGGAAAAGATGGGGAAGGAAGCAGTCATGCCCTAATTTAAGGTAGCACTGTAATTACCTAGAAGGACTGAGAAAAGCACAAAATACCTCAGTCACGATTGTTGATGTCCTGGCCTAGATTGAGACCAGGCACTTCCAAGATACAAGTTGCAGAATCATCACCACTTGAGTCAACTTGTTCAGTCATACAGGTTGCAGTGAATTCCCTGGATGCATAGTTTAATGTGTGCCACTTGTTCTTTCACTCCATAATGAATCAAGAACGCCAGCATTTTAGCCAGGAACTGCCAACTGATAGATATTTCAATTAGGGTAATCTTAAACTTTTGCCTTCTCCATGTTTGTAAATACATCTTGCTTTAGTCCTGTGAGCATGGATACCCTAGAGTGGCCTAATATAGCGTTGTGTGATGATGAAATGGTTACAGAAGTTTATGCTGGACATTATCTGATATTTCAGATGATGGAGATGGCAGTCATTCACAACTAATGACAATGTAATTTTCAATATAAATGACCTAAGTAAAATATTAGCAGATGCCACAGAATTGTGATGAGTAATTCTGAAAGTGAATGAGACTTACGGTCTGTCAGCGACTCCAGTTTTCATCGTTTCGGCAGAAGTTCTTGCTGGTAATGTATATAATTGTTGCTACCAAAACAAAATGAAGTATGAAGAAGTGCTTTTGGAACTTTATTCGGCCAGAGAAATTATAAAGTTATTACAAGAAGAAAGAAACACTAAAACAGACTCAGTTACGCATGATTTAAACCAGGGCTCGGAATATAATCATTCCGGTTTCAAACCTGATAACTGGACAAATGTATCAAACAGCAGAAGAAATAGAAGCAATAAACAACATAAACATGTTATCCAGCCAATACCAACAATTACAAATCGCTTTGCTTCCCTACCTAACCTCAATGAGAATAATGCTGGAGTAGATATTTCTGAGGATACGACCAGAAGAATTGGGGTAAAGAAGCAGAAGGTACAACAATCCACTCAAGGAAAAATGATGGATCCTTCAAAATCATCGAGTACAACCACGGCATGTAAGGACACATTGGATAAACATAATAAAAAGGTTGGAAATAAAAGAAATCATAAGATAGTAATTATAGGTGATAGTCACTCAAGAGGCTTGGCAAAAGAAGTGAAGCACCAATTGGACAAGAACTTTGAAGTAATTGGTTTCGTCAAACCTGGTGCAGGAACTGAGAAAATAGTGAAATCAGGAATGAGTGACATAGCAAAGTTAACAAAAAGTGATGTGGTTGTGTTCTGTGGTGGCTCCTATGAAGTAAATAAGAATATGGCTAAAATAGCTTTAAATCAGATCATAAGCTTTGTAGAAACAAACAATCACACAAATTTCATAATATTAAGTGCTCCCCATAGACATGATCTGGTGGACTTCTCTTGTGTTAATAATGAAATCAAATCCTTCAATAGGAAGTTAAAGAAACAAGTAAAAATTAGCAAGTATACTATGGTCCTCGAAATTAATCCCACCAGGGAACTATTTACTAAACATGGTTTGCATCTAAATGGGAAAGGAAAAGAAATGATTGCAAAACAAATAGTAGCCCAACTGCCCAATATTTTGGGGAAAAAAGATGATGGTGTAATTAGTCTGGGATGGAAAAATGGTCAAATAAAGGGAGAATCTATTGATGCATTGGGAAACAGAACTCAATCCCCAGAAAAAAGAAATAGTAATTTCATCCATGAGGAAACAATAATTTCTGAAGTAACTCCTCCTAGGACATCAAATAGGCGGAAAAAAGTTCCTGTGATTAGGAATAATGATTTTTTATGGTAAACAACGTTCACAATACCTCACATATAAAATTTAAACCCCAGATAGGGCATAATAATTTAGAACTTAATAAAGCAGACGACAATATAATGATATACCATCAAAATATTAGGGGACTGAGAAACAAAAGAACTGAAATGTTAAACTCACTACTCCCGGAACTCCCTCATATTTTATGCATAACGGAACACCATTTAAGGGAATTTGAACTGGAAAGCTCACCAATAGAACATTATAAGTTAGGAGCAAAATTCTGTAGAGAAAAATTAAAAGATGGTGGAACATGCATTTTTATTCATGAATTTATAAGTTTTATAACTATTAATTTACAAGAATTTTGCAAGGAACAAGACATTGAAGTTTGTGCCATAAAAATTAACTTATCAACTTCTATCATCTGTGTTATATCTATCTATAGGTCTCCTGATGGGAATTTCCAGTGGTTTTTGAAGATGATTGAAAATATTCTGAATAATCTATATAATGTAAATATAAATTTTATTATATGTGGGGACCTCAATATAAACTACCTAGATAACAACTGTAAAAAAAAGCAGCAATTTGATACCTTACTGTCTACATTTAATTTAACCAGTGCTGTAAATTTTCCAACTAGAGTGCAAAATGAAGTAGCAACGGCCATTGACAATATTTTTTTAGATGTGTCTAAAAACAATAATTATAATGTATATCCCCATATTAACGGCCTATCGGACCATGACGCCCAAATTATTAAGTTTAAAAATCTTAATATACAAGGATTAAATAATACCACCCAAATCATAAGGAATTTCAATAAACACTCTATAGCTAATTTTAAGCTCAAACTGAGCTTTGAGATGTGGGAAGATATTTTTGAAGCAACTGACGTAAATATAATGTTTAATAATTTTCTCAATACCTATCTTAGGATTTTCTACTCCAGTTTTACGAGAAGAAAAATAAAGAGCAAACCAAATATTCATAAATGGTTAACTACAGGAATACGTATTTCATGTAGAAACAAAAGAA